GGTAAAGAGTCCGGGGCGTAAAGCTGACCACTCACCTCGATTTAATAGTCAGTTCAAGAATGGTGGAGCTATACCCCTTCATACGTCTTCAGAGCGCAGTGCTTAATTATTAACGCCCAGGCACAATTTTGCCCTACCCCTTTCAGATCACCACAGATCTTGTTACCGAGGTTCATGCAATCTCTTATACCCGACACGGCAATGCTACCAAGGTACACTCCTGTTCAAGTAGAAAAAAAGGTAAAGCTATCCCTGTAACAGGCCCATAGGGTTGTGAGACATCGAGGCTCTCACATTTTCTAGGTAATCGGCTCACAGATGGCGGTAAAGTTCTCAGCCTTACGCGCCGGCCGCCCTTTACACCCCAGAAGATTCCTAGTACTCGTTTCTGTTAGAGGCTGAGGCGAAAAATGCAATGGCCTCATCTGGAATCGAACCCGCGACCTTCCTGCTTGTAGCATAGTGCCTCGACCAAATACGCCACCACGTGCCCCTCCCTGTTCAAGTAGAGTTAACATTTTTATCGTCATGGTCTGTGTAGGCGTCTTTCTTAACCTGCCTCGTCAGTCCGGGAATATCACGGAGCGGCAGAACCTTACGTCAGTATCTTTGTTTTTGTTTTGCTACGGCCTAACTTGTCCGATGGTTGTCATGGCAACTGGATATTGCGTCATGCGATAATAACTCACGTGCTGTAACTGGAAACGTGTGCACCTTTCACGCTGGCCGCTTACGTCTTACATGCAGCAAAGAAGTGAGTTAATTTTTCGCGATAATTCACTTTACAGAAGCGAATATGAAAACATCCGTCTTGTAGTTGTCAGAAGGTCGCTGTACGTCACTGCAATTTCCCCAAACGTACTTCCCCCGAAATTGTTACGCAATAACTGAACTATTTCCTTTGTTATTTCACAAATAACGTTGAAGTGGAAGAATTTGAGTTGCGTAATATGATGTAAGAGAAAGGATAAAGTTCACTGGCTTGACGCAAAACCACGCAGTTAATTCAATATTTGGCCACTGGGTGTCAGCAGCTACCAACTGCTAACTTTCAAAGTACTTGGTATGGGTCGCGAACGGAGTTACGGACACAATTTCCCTATTTAACGTTAGCGCCTCTTAAGGCGGAAACGGAACTTGCCGTTCGCAGTATTATCAAATAAACAACTGAAGAACGCCTGGAAAACCTGCGAAGCCTGGGGATTATGTCTGGGGATAACAAACTCCCGTCCTTCCTTGGGCAGCCAACAGTCACTGAGCTACTCAAGAATTCGCTACAATCTTACCAGAAGGCTCATTACCTTGTCCACAAAAGCTCGCCATTGGTCTCTTATCCTGAGGCAGATGAATCCAGGATCGGGGGTAATACCATTAACTGCTTCAGGACAGGGCGGCATTGTCGGGGACTTGTAACCTTCGGGTTTAGTTAAGTTGGTTCTGATTTCTGGATTTTTTGGATTTTCTAACGGATCCAGCAGAGTAGGCGTCTCCTCTCCCTTCACCTGAGGATGGAAACACATTCAGTTTCCGAAACGTTGTGTTCTCTGTAAAGTGACCGCTGAATAACGAATCTGTAAGAACATTGAAGGAAATTATCGTGGCCTATTCGAGGTTACATCCCGGCATTTGCGCTGGAGGGACTGAGGAATACCACGAAGGCAGTCGGCGGTCCGGCCGGGATTCCAGTCGAAGTAATTTCCCGACTACAATTGTAGACCGTTACCGCTGCACTAACCTGCTTGGTCCGTTAATGAATTCGAACCGGAAGAAATAAAACGTGGCCAGAGAATTGCGCTGTTCCCACCCTGAGAACAGATTCAAATTTCAAGTGACTCAATGAATGAACTGCATATTGTCTGGATATGCACACGTACAAGCAGGTGCGCGGTGTGACATGCTCCGCAACCGAACATTGTTGCGCAGTATGACGTTCAACTTTCCCTTTTCACGGGATTTGCCAGCTGATATCGATAAATCGATAAGAAAGTTCGACATCGATTAGAATCTGAATATCGATATATCTAAAAGTTCCGAAAAAGAAAAACTGAAGTCATATTGCAGAGAAAGTGTGGAGACTTTGGTCGGCCACAGAGATGCATGAATAAGCGAGACAGCCGTGTTGCAGAAGTCAACAGCCCTACAGAATGCTAAAATTGAATTAAATTAGGTACTTGAGCAATTCCAGAAATCCCCAAACCGATATAAGTATCTCCCATATTGACAAAGAATTCCATATCGATTGACATGAATTCATTCCTTGCCAACCACCTTTTTATGTCCTTGTTATATAGCCTCAGCACGGATCGCACGGAAAACACCGTGTGACTGTTGCGGCAATCACGTGTGACGGATACTAACCCACTTCCTAATAACGGGAGTGTTTACAGAGCTGTTTCCTAGCAACAGCTGTCTATGCTGGCTTCGCAATGCCACAATACGTTGTCAGTGGAGGAGAATCAGATCTGCTTATCTGGTTGGTTATCAGCGCGGTTTTGTATGTACGACATTGTTGTGGTGTACTGTTCCATCAAAAGAGTTGCACCACACGTTTACAAAATTTATTATCTCGAAATAAATACTGAATTTGGACAATCAAAAGACAAAATCGGTGAAGAATATTAGTAAGCAGTGTCAAAGACAAATACATACAGGCTAATGTCCCAAATGTTAACATAAAGGAATAACACGGCATACAAATTTATAGCACCCGAATTTTACGTGCAAATTGTATTGCTACTATGATTTTTGTCTCGCTAGCGCGTCACGTGACGTTATCCTGTATTTGCATACCTCCGGAACATACAGCCTCAAATAATTTCGCTGAAGTGACTGGCAACTTCTGCAAATTAAATATTTGCGCCCAGCAAATGCAGTATCATACCCAGTCCATAACTTTACTTCTATAATTTTACACGCAGATGTATTTGCAAACGGGAGACGAGAGCGACTAGCTACGGGCTGGACCACCGAGGGTTCGGAGTTCGAGTACGGGTAGAGTCAATAATTTTCTCTTCTCTACGTAGTCCAGACCGGCTCTGGGGTCCACCAAACCTCCTATCCAATGGGTACCGGGGGCCCTTTCTCAGGGGATAGAGCGGCCGGGGCTTCAAGCTGACCACTCACATCCAGCTAGTGCCGAGGTAAAGAAAATGTGGATGTGTACATCCAGTCCCGCATACGCCTTCATGATGCAGTGCTTAATCAGTTAAGCACAGGGACATCTTGTATTTACAAACGGGCTGCACCTACTACAGCCTAGACTTTGCCTGTATACAAATATCAGCATTTGTGACTGTCATCTGCTTACGGTGCTGTCGGTAAATGCATATTGTTTTGTTGTTTCTTCACTTGTCCGGGTAATTTCCTGCAGTTCTTTCTATTGGATGGATCTGGTCACTGTAGAGCACCGTGCCACCTGCATGCCTGAACTGAATTCTGAGTGCAACTGCAAGATAAGTGCCACATGTCTCCCAAATTATATGAATTTCTATTAGGTAAAAGTCATGTGTGCCAGTCACGGTAGCCGAACGGTCTAAGGCAGGCCGCACACCGGCATGTGACAGTCAAGACAGGATGTCTGCGACATGACGCAAAGAAAGGAGCACAGTTGAAACGAACGAGATTATGAAAACCGCCGCACACCGGTCTGAGTCACGATACTGACGTCATCTTCATGCTGACGAATCACGAATGAAGCAAGATTGCGTCTTTTGTCTCATGTCTTGATGCTTGTGTTGACGCAGTTGGTGTGCGGCCATCCTAAGGCACGTACTGTTCTCGCTAGCTCGGAAGCCGGGATCGTGGGTTCGAATCCCACACAAGGCACGGATGTTTGTTGTGTGTTGTCCTGTGTTTAGGGAGAGGCCTTGCGATGGGCTGATCACCCGTCCAAGGAGTCCTACCGTCTGTAAAAATGATCACGAAACTGAGAAATCAGCCAACCCTAAGCTCCAAAGTGGGAGCGAAAGGGAGAGAAAGTCATGTGTGTGTGTGTGTGTGTGTGTGTCTTGGATCATTTTCCTTGCAATCCCTGCATGGTAGTTGCTTTTCGTAAACTTACTAGTGATAGCAATGTGTTCAAGCCAGAGTCTAGTCGCGCCTACGTGGCAGGAATTGCTTATTATTTAGTGCATAATGCGGAAAGTCATGAAATACTGCAAGAAAAAAATTATTTTAGGTATAAAATGCGAGGGTTTTACCGAGATAATGAGTCACACTTGGTCCTTTCCGGATTATGACGCTATGAATTCTGATGGGTGGGTATCCACCCGCGCAATATCACAGTTTCCTTTCCACTGTTTGTATTCATATATCGGATGTTAATCACGTGATCATACCGGAGTCAGTGCTGCACTCCTAGCCTAAGGATGACTCTCCACATGAATGTCATGTTTTAGTCCAAATTTGGCTGAATCCTGTCACATTATTCGTCCTTATATTTGAAAATTTATCAGCAATTCGGACGCCTAGCAACTGAGCTTTAGCGGCGGTGCTACTGAATTGTTCGAAAATTATCCGGTTCGAACCTCGGCAGCAGTATCGGCCATCCCAGCTGAGAGAGCCCAAGAGCTTTCTTCAGGTTCTCTGGGTGATTTCCTGAAGAGTAAGAAAAAAAACGTAAAGCTATCCCTGTAACAGGCCGTCGAGGCTCCTACATTTTCTAGACAATCAGTTCAGAGAGCGCGGTGAGGTGGTTAGCCTTACGCCCCGTCCGCCATTTACCCCCAGGAAGATTCCTGGTACTCATTTCTGTTAGAGGCTGCGTCTGTCTCAGGGCCACAGTGCGGCTGGAAGGTTAGGTTAACTGAAAAAACTGAATGAGGCGAAAAGGGAGGGAAAACGCGCTGTCAGTCTAAAATGACGTATTAAAAAAAAGGCCGAAACATGTAGTTGATACACGACTATACAAACGTAAGTCCAGTCCAACACTGCGCTTCTCGTATGAAAGAAAGGGGAACAAGGCCGCTGGAACACGGAACGTATAAAACAGACCGCTCTTCCCGCTCTTCCATTTTCCGTGCCAGGCTGTCCGACATCATGGCAGGTGGCCGCGTAGCACTTGCAGTTCTGCTCCTTGCGCATTTCGGAAACGTAAGTACAAACGTATTTCTGGATAGCACAAGCAGGGGCTCCAGGGGCTCCAACCACAACCGTCAAAATCCATTTTCTCTCTAACTCTTCGTTTTTTTCGGAATTTTAGGAGATGACATAATCGTTAAAGTAACTTCAAGTGATGATTAAGGACTGTCTCTATAAATATGAATGTGAGCCGCAATAGCTCAGTCGGTATAGCGGTTGGCTACAGGCTGGGAGACCAAGGGGTCGGAGTTCGAGTCCCGGTGGGGGCAAGAATTTTCCCTTCTCCACGTTGTCAAGACCGGCTCTGGGGTCCGCCGGACCTCTTATACGTATATACCGGGGGCCTTTTGCCCGGGGGTAAAGCGAACGTGGCGTGAAGCTGACCACTCACCCCCAGCTAATGTCGAGGTCAGGAAAATGTGGATCTATAGATCCACTCCCCCATACGCCTTCATGGCGTACTGTTTAATTACTTAAACACAGGGACAACTTTACCTTCTATAAATGGGAGCCCTAGAGGAACGGTCGCTTGCACAGAACTCTGAGTACCCATCTCGCTTCATGGACAAATTGTGTAATTCCAGTTTCTACTTTTCGAGAACGAACAGAAAGAGATAGAGACACTTGGTTTTATGAAGAAGTAACGCCTGTCAATGATTTCAGCGTGTTATAAGTAATTGTCATTTGGAGCAAAGGCAGATCTACAGAATGACAATTACCATTCAGTTGCCTGCTCAAACCTACACCCTTGAACCTTACGTACAGCGTGTGTTAGAAATTCGGAATGCCCACTGCTGAAATGCTATTGTTACATTCACTAGTTACATCACTGGATTTCAGTACCATACGAGTATAGTGGCAATATAAATATTTGAACTCTTAAGGAATACATTTTTATCCCATGTCAGGATTATTCATAACATGGTTTACTTCATTTCTCGACTTTCTTATCGGCTGTATTTATCTCCAGTTTGTAGCTCTGGTACACGTGCTATGACGATCGCACTTTGCATTCAGCAAAACTTCGGCGTTGAATTAGTGCTCAGTCATGCGAATTACGTATTCTGCCTTACTTGTACATTGAAATACAGTTCGCTGGCGAACTAAACAAGTTCTCACGTACTTAAATGCAAACCTCTGAGATGGAGTCCGTCACCTTCGAAAATTTAAACGTTTCCCCCCACTCTGGATCACTCCGTTCTCCGCCCCTGCACCAGGCGTCTGCCAAAACTGCAAGCCCGTAAAGTTACAAGCGTCGGTTTGGGTTCTCTGATGATATTCATTCTAGAAACTTCGTTGCAAATCTGACACTACCGTGGCAGAGAGAGACCATTTGCGAGCCGACTGTCTAGAAAATATCTCACAACCCTATGGACCTGTTACAGAGACAGATATTTTTTTAATATTGCAAATGGTGGTTACGTTCCCGCCAAAATTGACGAAGCCAGGCTTTAAAAATCGGTACAGCAGTTTGTCAAGACAACGCGCCTAATTTCTCACGCCGATTGACCTAAACTACTTCGGTGCTTGGAAACAAAACTGAGTAGACTACAGTAGCTTACTGAATACAGAAATCCGTGTAGTCGGTATGGCAGGTTTCGACATAATGGACATTTCGCGTTTGGTCCCTAGTGTACGCTGTTCCCCTAGAGCTAGTGCGTATACAGCTTAACTGAAGATGTCTCACAGGTTACTTAAATTCAATCAAAATCGTTACAGCCGTTTTAAAGAGAACAGAAATTTTGTGTTTTCGGGGTCATCTGAAGGTTTCCAATTTTTGGAGCAGGAGCGTTCATATTCGCCAAGCAGCGACCTGTAACGGATGAACTCTTGAATACCGAATATGAATAAAACCCGTCGAACCGTTCAGGAGCCAGCGAGGCGCATATCCGAACATACGCAAAGGGAAGGCCCGGCGTAGTTCCCCCTTATCACGCAGCCCAGTATTCAGATCTCACGGCAACAAGAGGCAGCCGTGTTCGTTCTTGCGCACCTGGTGGTGGGTTTCCATGGTGTACTTACTGCGCAGAAGCACTTCATACTGTGTAGCGTGTACAGCCGTTGCTTTATAACAACTACCGCGAGATGAGCGGATATACTACGGTCGTTTCTGGACATTGGCTCGGTAACCACGTCCCGCGAAACAAACAGAACACCCGTTGCTAGGAAGCAGACCTTTGTAATTGGTTTAGGCACTATGCTACAAGCCGGAAGGTCGCGGGATCGAATCCCGACGATGTGGATTTTTTAAATTTACTTAATCTTTCCAACTTGACCACCGCCAAGTTTAAGCCTCTTATACAGAATCCAGTTCTACTACTGTCCCGCTTATAACCTCTCGGCACGGACCACTTAGAAAATAGTTTTTTTCTATTGTTTTATTCCCTGGGGACGACTCAGCCTTTAACAGAAATGAGTACCAGGAATATTCCTGGGGGTAAAGGGAGGTGGGCGCGTAAGGCTGACAACCTCACCGTCATCTGTGAGCCGACTGTCTAGAAAATGTGGGAGCCTCAACATCTCACAACCCTATGGGCCTCCACGGCCTGTTACAGGGATAGTTTTACCTTTTCTTTTATTAGCTGGAATAAAACAACGAAAAAAAAAACTATTCTCTAAATGGTCCGTGCCGAGAGATTATAAGCGGGACATTATTAGAACTTGGTTCTGTATAAGAGGCTTGAACTTGGCGGTGGCGAAACTTACGACGGTTCAAGTGACTAAGCTGCCGTTGTAGCATAAGATAGTAAGTTAGCCATGATCTGCTTCGCAGAGCCTGTACTGACAGAGGACTTGTGTACAATGCACAAGGAAGAATTTGCAATAACATGCTATATGTGCGATACGTACACTTGACGAAAGGCCAAGCTTATTCATAAGAGACAGACCCACCTTCTCGTCAGAGAGGATGTTACATAAGGACTTTGGGCGCAAGGGTTCAGTTGAAAAGAACTCTGGTCTTGATCCTCAAGGGGCCTGGCGCCAAGACGAACTGACTGGCGTGATATGGTCAGACGAGCCGTCATTCACACTGTTCCCTACATCAGGAAGACTTTACGTTTGGAGAACACCCAACGAAGCCTATAGTCCGGACTGCCTGGTTCCAAAAGTGAAACACGGGGGAGGTTCTGTGATGGTTTGGGCAGCAATATCGCGGTACAGTTTCTGTTGGTCCCATTATTAACCTTCATGGCCGAATTACTGCAAGGGAGTACATGGACAGGTTGGGTAATCGGGTGCATCCCATGGTGCAGACGTCATTTCCGAAAAATCATGCAGTTTTACTTTACCTTTACCTGAGTGTGCATCTCCCAGAGGAAAGAGGAGGAGAAACCTCCGAAGCCTTTTAAGACTCTTACGAAACCACTTTAGAGGAAATAAAATATCTATGCTGTAATAGCTGGACTTGCAGTGGGCAGCGAAGGACAGGAAACCGCAAGAAATGATCAAGGTTTGTTCACTTTACAGTGCAGAACGATTTGCGACTTACTGCCATTTGCAGACACGTGAATATCCGTTAAGCAGACCCGGGTTGCAGTAGTCTGCAAGGTCTAACCAACAAGCAACGGGGGCAACGGTTTTACAGTTCTGGAATATTCAGAGGTCTGTGTGTCCTCTGACCACTTCTCAGCTACTGCAAATATTTCAGCCCCTGCAAAGTAAAACTGTTGATTCGGATATTTTAAAATTAAATTTGCTAAGGGAAGGCGCCTGTGGTTCTGTATGGATGTGAAACTTGGTCTCTGACTTTAGGGGAGGAACATAGACTGAGGGTGTTTGAGAACAGGGTGTTGAGGAGAATATCTCGACCGAAGAGGGATGAAGTGACAGGAGGTTGGAGAAAACTGCATAATGAGGAACTTCATAACTTGTACTCTTCTCCAATTATAATTAGAATGATCAAATCAAGGGGGATGAGGTGGGTAGAGCATGTAGCACGAATGGGGGAGAGGAGGAATGCATATAGGATATTGGTGGAAAAGCCGGGAGGAAGGAGACCATTGGGAAGACCAAGACGTAGGTAGATTGGACAATATTACAATGGATCTTAGAGAGACAGGATGGGATTGTATAGACTGGATTGATCTCTCTCAGGATAGGGACAGCAGAGGGCTCTTGTGAACACGGTAATGAACCTCCAGGTTCCATAAAATGCTGGGAAGTTCTTGAGTAGCTGCACAATTGGTGGCTTCTCAAGAAGGGCTCAGCTCCATGAGTGAATGAAGGGACGGCGCATTCATTTTTTAGAACATTCGAGCAGAGAACGACTTTTAAATACTCAGCCAGTTAATTGAAACGTTAATCAAGAGCGAAGGTGCATGAAGGTTACTGGAGGCGACACTGCACATGCTTTCTCCTACACGACTCGGGTTGATTATGTTGCCTTGGAATAGAAATTTGAGTGCTGAACAACAATGAAATCAGTTCGACTGTTTGAGCCAGTTTCGAAAGAGAAACGAAATTCTGAACTTGGGAACCCTCCACATTGAAGGTACGACCTACACAATTTTATTTGGGGAAGTGCTCTCTTGAAATTTAATCAAAATCACTGGAGTCTTGACGTCTCACAACACTATGGTCCTCCACGGCCTGTTACAGGGAGAGATTTACCTTACCTTCCTATATTAATATAACTTTTAACTTTAAAATACTATCAAAATGCTTAAAATAAAATTAAATTATGTAATATTGATAAGAATACGATATGAATTATTAGAAAGGGACTGTCATTTTTTGGTGTGACAGATGCATTGGATGGGACTGGGGTAGATTTCGTGTTCTGTTCCCAGTGTGTGCTGTATGTGTACTGAAGTATGGGAGTATCTGTGACACATACAATTACATCAATCTTGGCTCTTGAACAATGTAAGAGAGGACGTGACACCTTTGAGTCTGGCTTAGTGAAACTCATGTATGTCAGGCAACAGATACAGCTAGTAAAGGACTAGAAACTGAATTATTTAATGTGCTGTTGAACTTGATGATCTGAATATAGATTTTCAAATGGAGTGCAATGGTCTGTAAGTAAACTTTTAGTTTTAATTTTGCACTTCATTATTATGTATGGAGGAACAAGTGGGTGTACTCTGAAAAAATTTCTGAATTCTATTTAGATCCATGTGTACATGAAGGTGATAGCCCCTACAACTCAAGCAGGAGTAACATGCAATCGTGGATTCTATTGGCCTCATATTCAAACCAGGTACTGTAATTTTATATTTTCTCTCATAACAATATCTACATTTAAGTTATTTGTCACAACAGTCAAATGTATCAAGTGATAATACTTAATTACTAGTCTTTTCGTGAGTAATTGGTTACATTTCATGATCATTTTGCATTCTTGTTTATTGTGACTTTAAGCTTCCAGCTGCAGGTACTAACATTCTGTTCGTAATGTCTATGGGGAGGGAGGGGGGAGGAGAGAAAAAAAGTCTTGAACCCTAGCTCCATATTTCAAGTGATAAATCAGTTTAACAATAAAACATAATATTTTTACATACTTTACAAAATCTGTAATCATTAACAACAGATATTACAACGTGCACCAACTTAATAATTTGTTATGTCAGAAATCTTAATGGTTTCAACTAATGCTTTCTAAATTAAGAATTGCTCATTGAGCCAACTGTTTTAATCTTATCCGCTCTGTTTAGCACTGACCTTATGGATACGATAAACGCAATGTGCAACACAACTCCAAGTTCCTCAGATTCTGACAATCAGCATCTGAACAGTGATGCTTGCTATGGGTGCTTTTCTCGTGTGATTGATCAGTTCAAGGTAAGATGAAATAGAGATTCCAAAAATTCAAACATTTTATCTTCATAAAAGCAGTGCCTTTAGATACCACCAGCATTATAGTAAATGCCAGCCACAGTGGCAGCGTGGTCAAAGGCATGAAATGTCTTCGCCAGTTAAAACACTGGGATCGTGGGTTCGAATCCCACTTGAGGCATGGATGTCTGTGAGCGTTTATTCTGTGACTGTGTTGTTCTGTGTGTAGGTAGCGGCCTTGCGAGGGGCTGATTCCCCATCCAAAGAGCACTACCAACTGTCTACGATTAATAAAATGAAGTGAAATGAAGTGTTTCCCGGATGTGCTGTGCTCCACATGGGAGCAACAGGATAAAGATACACTGATGTAGATTGTAGTGAACAAAAGTCAGCACCCTGAATGGCATGCTATGTGTGAATCTGTAAGAAAATACAGGTCAGAATATTTCCCACGACTACAATTTTATCATCCTTAATAACTGCATGATGTCCCTAGTGCAATATTGGGAGAACAATCGCTGATAACACTTCTCCTATATTTCAATTATGCACACCAGACAAAACCCTTCTGAATGTTAGCATTTCCTCTACTGAAGACTCAAAGCGAATGAGAAGAGGTAGAAATTTCAGTCACTACCAGACACTGTGTTTAGAACATGTGTGAAATCAGAGTAAGGTAGGCCTCAATTTTCAATTAATGAATGTATTAATTGATAAATTTTAGATTTAAGATCTGTATGGCCATGGTTAAAGCACTATATTTCTTAAAAGCGCCGTTTTTAAGTCAATCACATATCTCTTTCAGAACGCGATGCATTTAGGTGAACTGAATTCATGTGCTTCAACATACCTTCAAGGAACCGATTACCAGCCATGTGCAGATGAATTTGCAGTAAGTGAGATGTTAGCAGTGACATTTTAGTATACTGTGCTTGAAATGAGAGGAAAATAGAAAAGAAAGCACATTATTTTGAAAATATTCAGTATGAATCTTTATAAAGGATATTTTGATGAATACAATATTTTAATATGTAAAAATATGAAAATGCATCAACGGTAATTATTTTAATAATGAGACTATTATAAATACTCGTACATTCCTTTATAATGATGCCTCTTCCTTTGTCTCCTGATGAAAGCAATTAGTGGCCAAAACACGTAAAACAAAATGATTTTGTTTTCTTTATTAAAACAGTTAGGCTCAATGAATTATCAATTTTAATTTATTCAATATGAAATTTCAGAAAAAAATGGCTCATCCAGTTTAGGCTTTCATTTTTATGACTTTAAAAGTCTGCACCTTTCATTAGTAATTTCCTTTAAAAAGATTGTTGTTATGCTGTTTAGGGCAATGGGGTAGCAAACTGTAAACTTTGTGGAGAATGGGAATAGATAAAATTATGCATGCAACTGTTTTGGTTTTTGTTTCATCAAAATTTTATGGCAGAACTTGGTCTTTGTAATGTGGCAAGAGGAAAACAGAAAGGTTAGAAACATTTGGCAGTCCTAGCCAATGTGAAGGTTTCAGGATTTATCTTGGGTTCTTTAACTTAGCCATTCTGTTCATCAATTCACCAGTTTTTCCACATTCATATATCACAACTACTGACATAGGCAAGAATCCTGACCAATTGGCACATATGGCAACCTTGGCCTTAAGTTGGAGCTTTACCTTTGTCTTGAAACTTGACAAGACTCAGATTAAAAAGTTAGTTTAGTTCAAGGCAATTATAAAGTTACGGTGTTACATCAGGATGTCAACTGAAAGGGAGCATAATTAATCCATGCCATTTTGTGGAAGCAAGATAATGAAATCTGACTGGGTTTCAAACTATATTTCTTACTCTCAGCTTTTTTAAAAAATTTCAAGTATCTAATTCCAATTTCCTTGAACATGAGTCATTACACTGAATTATAACACTCATATTTCAGAAGGCTATTGCAGAAAATGACACAGAACTAGAAGAGACAGGCTGTAAAGGAGACGGTGCCTTTTGCAGCTTTGAGAAATGCATTCATCGCATTGATAAACTGAGCCTGGTAAGTGACTACAATAAACCAATGATCTTCAGTTCATACATGTATGCTTCATTTCCTTCAAGTGTGCGATTAATACATATCTTCTGATTTGCTTCATAAATCTCACGCCTGTGCAGGGTTCAAATATAGATAAAATCTTCTCTATTCTCTACACACACACAAATTAAGCAACAACATAACCAGCCCAACAGTGTGGTAAATCCTGCAAGTCAATCTAACTTACATAACATGCAAATAATAATACTACAATGACATCTATACAGGCTGAGTAAATAACATGCAAATTACCCATGCCGCAATAAGGGAATGCAGGGTGACAAAATCTGACATCAGCAAATATACTCATATATCTTTCAATGAATAGATGGTAACTACAGTGAAGAATCACATTAAGATGCCTTAATTTTAATTTTTAATCCCCATCTTAATTCAAACTTTATATTTTATTTAATAACATTGGTTTNACAACTGTTACTGTAGATTCATCTTCAGAGCCAAATGGTGACTGTATTTTGTGTATTAATTTACGTGTCTGCAGTCCGACTCAGTTACCTGAACTGGTTAAGGTAAGGTAGGCAGTAAAAATTCGTGAATTAACACAGCTAGCCCTGTGGTAATTTTATACTGATGACCAAGACACCACAACTGGGGAAACAAAGGTATTCATACCTTATTCATTTAAACGTCTGATTGGCTACAAAGTGTATTTTACCTTTTGCCATAGCAGTTTTCAGCGCAGAAGATCCCACACTTTCGCTGAATTTGGACAGCCATTACACACTATTTATTTTCCCGCCTTGCGTCATCACATCTACCACATACATTTTAAACGCATACGCGCGCGGTGCAGTAATCGGAATTTGTTCGAGATCCTGAATCTCAGTTCTTCATTCTGTTCGATTCTGTTCCACGGATATATGCCTGCATGTGTGCACATGCAAGCACAAAGATGCACACATGTAAGAATTTAGAATGGGTTAGAATTGTAGTTGTTTCTAGCAATGAGGTTGCTAATTCATTTTCAGAAACATGCATGATTTTACGGCAGATGGACAAAATAACAGAAACACTAAGAAATTGAAGCATAGAATTTGTGTTGGCAACACTGAAAGAACTTTATTTGGCATAACTGACCGCTCGTCATTATTTTGTTTACGTGCTGGTTCCAATGTATGAGTGATGTCATTGAATGTGTTGAGCGATTTTTCGTCTGGAAGAATCGGCTAATTGGAGGCTTGTCTGATTTTGAAAGAGGATAGATCGTTGATGCTTATTTAACTGGAGCATATGTCAAAAACCGCCACAGTATTAGGTGTATCGCGAGTGATAATTTCTAAGGTTATGTCGGCATACACGAATCATGGGAAGACATCAGCAAAGTGGAACAGTAGGCGAAATTAAACACTGACAGAGAGAGATCGTCGTTCATTGAGTACTGTATCGAAACTCACATAACTGTTGCAGCCAGATGACTGCAGAACTGAATACTCATTTTGAAGACCGTGTCTCCACAAAAATTGTCTGACGTGAGCTTCACAAATTCAACATTGACAGGAGAGCTGCAATTGGTAAACGTATGATTACTGAAAGTAATGCCTAGATGCGTAAACGATGGTGTCACCACCATAAAACCTGGACTTCTGACAACTGGAAATGCGTGCGTAATATGGTCAGGTGAGCCGTCGTCCACACAGTTCCCTACATCAGGAAGACTTTACGTTTTGAGAACACCCATGGAAGCCTGCAATCCGGAGTTCCTCCATCGGTTCCAACAGTGAAACACGGGGAATGTTCTGTGATGGGTTTTGGCAGCAGTATCGTGGTACAGTATTCTGTTGGCTCCATTATTACCCTTCATGGCCGAATTACTGCAAGGAAGTATGTGAGCAGGTTGGGTACCCAGCTGCACTCCACAATCCACACATTCTTTTCGAACAACGGTGCAGTTTCCCAAGGTGACAATGCCTTTGTTCACACTGTTCTGTCATGGTTTGAAGAGCATGAAGATGGACTTAAACATCTTCCTTGGCGAGCACAATCACCAGATTTGAACATCATTGAACCACTATAGTCAGTTTAGGAGATTAGAATGGAAAACAGATTCACACCTCAACACATCTAAACCCACTTGAAGATGTACTTCAAGAAGAATGGTATACAATTCTGCTAGAGACTGCGAAACCTGTACTAGTCTACTGCAAAAGGATTGCGACTGTATTGAAGGTATAAGGTGGTCCAATACCATATTAATAAAGAAATGGGTACAGTCTCTGTAATGTTTCCATTATTTTGTCTAACCTGTATATAGTGCTTCTCATGTAACCAAATTTTAATCTTTGAATAATAATAACAATAATAATAACTGTGTGTAGAATCAGTTAATTTAATGGAACTTGCAGTCAGTTGTTACCAAATAGGAGTAATATTCCAGGATTTAATTTGTGAGACTTACGAAAACCACGACAAATCTGAGGTGTGGTAGCTGGCAATTTAAGACAAGAACAGTGGATATCACTGGCTGTAGAACATTTCTAGCTTAAGGGGTAGCTCACCCCTACAGTTCAGCACTGCCTCAAAGGACAGAATGGGAAGGCTGTTTGTAATCCATGTCAAGGTCTACAAATAGGAAACATAATTCAGTAGAAAAGGAAACAAATTCCCTACTACTATTCAAGTGATAAACATGCAATAATATACATACACAGTGTATCTCCATGCCATGTATAAATGCACACATAAACCTAGGTTTAGAGGGGTCACCCATCACATATCCTTCATGACCAATGTGCCAAGGTGTACCACTCCACCGCACAATTCTGTGATGAAGAAGCTGAAAGGGAGACAGGGAAACCTAAGTTGCTACACGAGCCCATTAGGAGACAAACAAAAATCACAACTAAATGTACACAATTAACAAATAATATAGGTTGAGACCAGTGACAGATACAGTCAAAGAGAATAAAAATAAAATACAGAATCAAAGTTACTTTAGCCCAATTGGAGGGCAGGGTTGGTGGCTCAAGTAAAACAAATCAAGGGGATATACCAGGAGTCAGCAGAAGAACCAGAAATGAAATTAGAATACACAGCTGAACATAGTCTGTAAAAGCTAATAGTCTGTCCACCTGCTCCAAATTTCGCCAGTCTAAGGACTGAATCACGAATGAATCAGTGCTTCTCGATCTGCCTGAGGGTTAAGACCATTTAGCAAAGGGGAAAGCTACAAGTTAGTTCACAAGTATAAAATGCTGAGAAAGGTATGCACGCTTCATGTTAATGAGGCACATATATTTTTAACACATTATTTTCACTGCAGTGAACAAATTTTTAAGAAACTTGACATTAGTTATGTACATTCTTTTAACATGGTGGTCAGTGTATAAAAGCACTTTTATGAAAGGTAACAGAATTGGTTTTTGAATGGTTTATATAAATTTGGACTTGCCAGTATAGTTAATACATAGAAGAAAATGAAGATTCTTACTTCAGTTGACAAAGGATACACAGGGGCACCAGTGAAATAGTCAGGAACAAGGATTAAGGAGATTTTTAAGAAAATTTGTATGACATTGTGCACTGTTAGTGACTGTAGTACAGCTGCAAGAAAATCTATTGAAATTTTTATTATCTTTTCATAGAACACATGGCAAATTTTTGTCATATACCAGTGCCACTTTCAGTTGACATAAAAAAGAAAGGCAAAAGGTAAAGCTGTCCCTCTGCTTAATTAATCATCACACCATGAAGAAATGTGGTGGAGTGAAGGTATAGCTCCACTAATCTTGACTTTGGCACTAGATCATTTGATCTAAGATGTATTTTAGATTTCTCATAGTTCTGACTGTTATAAACGTTTATTTTATGTATGTTAACTGAATGTGGATACTCATATTTCAGATTAAAAGTTGTACTGACGAGGTAAAGGGAAGTACTGAGAATGGCACTGGAGAAGCAGATGAGGTGCAAATATATATTAAAACAACAGCTTGTATATTGGCAAAAGTCCGCTGTAGAAATTCTGTAAGTATATAAAGCTTATCATATAAAACATAATAAAATTCTGGATGTCAGTATGTAGACCTTGATGCAAATATCAGTCATAAACATTTCAGTAACAGTAAATAAAGTGATTATTATTTTAGACTTCAATTCTGGTAAAAATTTCAGTTATGAGATGGTACTGCTTAATTCAGGCCAACGTCAAATTTTCAGTTCATGATGGCTGCTCTATCTTGGTTTTCAGCATTTGAGGTCCAACTCTGCCCCAAAATGTGTATTATTGTACAGGTTTTCATGACTGGGGTTCAGTATAAGATTTTGGCTTTTGGAAATTCACCATGTAGAATGTTGAAAGATTTGAAGCTGTTATCTTCAGGGTTACTGTCTTTAGCAGGTTTCAGAAGCCCCTTATATTGATGTGGCACTGGGCAGTCAGTGTCACCTGGAGCTGTCATTGGATAAGCTAACCACCTGGTACTGAAGTCATACTATTCTGCAGTACACCTGTTATTTGTGTTACAGCCAGGAATACATAAAATTACAGCAAAGTCACTGTCACTACAGAACATGAGAAACAATTATATACAAGTATATATCTGACTCACCAGTGCTTGATTTTGGGAAAATGTATATTGAAAAGAGCTGGGGTGGTGCAGTTGGTATAGCGACTGGCTACGGGCTCGACGACTGAGGAGTCGGAGTGTGAGTCCCAGTAGGGTCACAAATTTTCTCTTCTCCAAATCTTCCAGACCAGTTCTGGGGTCCACCCAACCTCCTATCCAATGGGTACCAGGGGTAAAGCAGTTGGGGCACTACCTCCAGCTAGTGTTGAGGTCAAGAAAATGTAGATCTATACATCCACTCCACCATACGCCTTCATGGCATAGTGCTTAATTTGTTAAGCACAGGGACAACTTTATGTACCTTAGAGTATAGTGAAACTGTGGTCAAAGAGTTCTGCTATAAATTACCATAATCCAGCATAACTCAGGTATTTCATGTTTATGAATTCTGCTGTGGCGAAGTTAATTTATTTAATAATCCAGTATTTTAACACAACTATTACAATTAAATTAAAATTTACCAGAAGTAAGTATCATATGCAAGGAAAATATGATATAGAGTACCTGGTGTTGTAGCTCACTTTCCGTTCCCCACAAAAACCACATGTCATACAAAAGACAACTTGCAGTACCTTTTACAGAAGTAAATCAGTTCAAGTAATTTTACTTTGCAGATGAACACTGATCAACCTGGCCAGGTTGGAACAGTGCGACAGCCAAGGTGGAACCTGTATCAAGCAAGCACCTTGCTTGTCACTGAGGACTATGATCTGAGAGTGACAAGTGTGCCACATGGAAATTTGGGCCTGGTGTGTGGATTTAATCCTGGCAATGTTAAGGTAGCCACCTGGCCCGGAGCTACATGCTAATATAGCCAAAATAAACAGAAATATTCTGAAGTAATGTACAAGTGAAATAAAGATATGAGACTGTACTGTTAGCTTTCTTCTTGATATTAATCACTGAAAGATTAACACTTCCAATGAACTCCCAATTATCTGGACTAACGGATCAAGCAGTCAGCTGCCACTTTCTCACAGCAGTGACCAAGTTATACATGCAGAAGTTGTGGTGGACAAAGTGGCACCAGTGAAGGATTTTCTCCAAACACTTCAGTTTCCCCTGCCAATTATCATTCCACCAGTGGTCCAGAGTCTGACTATTATCCAGGGGTGGTACAGAGCTCATACTTTGACAGAGTTCCTGGCATTTTATGAAAGTAATCCACCTACACAACAGGCCAATTTTAGGCTGCAGTGCCACGGGACTCAGTCTGTCCCCACCCAGAATCTTGCAGGCTGCATGTGCTTATAAAAAGGGAATATCAAATTTTGCTGTACTCATTTTATTATCTATGTAGCAGATGCAAAACCCTACCATAGACAAAAAATTTGGCCGATACTACAAAGACAAATTTGAGGGAGTTTAATATTTGTTTTCTTTTCCCCCCTCTATGCAGTATCAGACATCATATACGTCTGGGTCACATATCAAAGGCTACTAAGTTGTATGGATATCTGAGACATCTATTTGTTTATGTAGACAGTTGACTTCAGAATCAAAGTATATATACCTTCTTGGGTGTTCACACTATGTGGATGTGGGGACATCCACACAGTATAAACACCTAAGAACCAAATTAACATCAACAACCAATCACTGTGGATGCTTAAAATCAGAAATTATATAAGCTGTTCTGAATCAATGAGAACACACTAAAGAGATGTGTATTCAATTCTTTAAAACACTGCAACCCTGAAACAATGACTGGTCTTTATCTCTGTCCTCAGGTAAAAAAGCTCCATCGATTGGACTCAACAGTGTAATCTTTTTACCAGAGGACACAAACACAGTCCAGTCTCCACAACATCATTTTGATAAAAACTTGGACAGTGGACAATGCACAGAAAATCAGCCACTGTATTAATATACCCTTGCATCAACTCCCATATGTGAGTTGGTCATTCACCAGTGCCATAAGGTGAAATATTGTTGGTTTAGAATGATTTTCAGCTGTTCTTTTTCTTTGTTGCTAGATGGTGCATGTAGGCACCCCTGCAGAGCATGCAAACCATGCGTGTGCTGTGAAAAGGAGCCTTGGGTGGCATATAAATAGGGATGAGGGTTGTCAAGTGAAAGCATTCAGTTGTTTCATTGTGGGACAGTTCATACTGACGAGGCATAATACTGACTTTGTATTTAATAAACCTGGAGAATGATAAGGCAAGTCAATGACTGATCTCTCCCACACTTTATTAAAAATGATAAGCCATGTTGTAATGACTAGAACGTGAAAACAAGAATTAACAGTATAAGCTAAAATGTGTTGAAACATTCAAGATGTACCTGTTCATATTCCAGGTAATGGCAAATTTTCAATTTTGTTATGAACATACATCATTAGCGTTAATGCTTAGAAGCAAAGTCCAGCATTATGTTCAGTACATTTTTCCTTACGTCTTAGTTTCTCATATATCAAATCAGATACTATATATTCAGTTTCACATTTTTTTCAATAATTACTATTCACTCCCAATCACACGCACAACCTGGATTATCCATGCTTTTCATTTGTGTATCTATTCCCCTTCATTAGCACCAGTAACTGGGAGTATACTGTAATACTTAGTCCAATTAAATTCTGAAGTTATTTAAAGTTCATCCCCATGAAATTAGCCATTACCATACTGGGCATTCTTACCCTGAATAAGAATTTGCTGCTTCTAAAAGTTCAACAACACAGAAACTGGCAAACTAATACAGTATAGCTAGAATTATAAGAACTTTCCATCTGTAAGGAATCTTTAAAAGAATCACACGTCATACAAAGTTGTAAAAATATATAATTTTCTGCAAACTTCTGTGATGCAAATTTATAAAATGTTCTAAAAAACTATACATATACATACACACAACCATGTTACGGCACAGAACCAGTCAACAACGCAGCTTGGCTACTAAATCTACAACTTCACTTATTACAGCAAATCTAAAATTAAAATTAACATATGGCAACTTGAATGTAAATTGGCAGTACATATGCAATGAAGAGGTTCATTATATTTACCCCAGATATGATGCACAGAGGCCTCAAGTCTACCTGCTGCTCTGACAATTGTTTTATTGTCAGGTACTCCAGCCCATCCTTCAAGCCATAATTAGGGCATGTTGTTTTCCAGTTAAATCTGCTCTCGTGCATCTGAGTGGTTACTCTACAGCTTGGGATTTGAGTTAATTTAACCTAAACATGAAGAGTTAAACTTCCTGAAACTCCATATACATATATTTGCTGTACATATCTCAGTGCGATACGTACCAAGTAATGTATCTGACTTTTATTTGGAGGTGCCCAATTTAAATCTCAGGTCGGACTTCTCATGATTTCCCTCAGTCCCTCCAGACATGCCTGGGTTAGTTCCTTGAAGAAGTCCATCACTCATGTATCATTGTTTCATCTGACGCCATACAGTCTGAACTACTGTCATCTAATGGGCCAAAAATATATGTAAATCAATGGGAAATGTAAGCCTCAAAACACAAGTTACTTGCAGACCGTATGATTACTGCCAAACAAGGAAACAGTGACAAAACAATCATTTTCACATATCTATATACATCTGTACATCTGTTTATAGTAGCATGGTTGAAATTAAATCATGGATCTTTGTGGAAAGGATGGTAAACTTTTCTTTAACCTGACCAGACACTCTGTAGTAATATTGTCTCCGGGAAGTTTGAATTTTTGTAGAACTGTGCCTCAAGCAATCACTGTTAGTTTCAAGAAGGTTTGGTGCCCTTTTAAGTGACTTCTGTGGGTTTGGTCACAGGTGGGTTCAATTCCAACCTAAGGAACTGAGATTTAGACTAGCATATTCACATATTCCCGACTGAACGAATTTCATATTCAGAACATCCAAACCATTCATGTGTATACTCGTAACAAAATGGTTTTCTATTTAGATAGTAGAGAGCAACTTTAATTTATGATATTTGGGGGGGGGAAGATTTTCACGAAATTTGATATTGAGGAGTTTTACTGAAATATGTCAACATGTTTAATTTTGATTAAACTTTGATAATAATGACACACACATTACATGAAGAGCAACATGCAATTCTGTACACATCTTGCACATAACTTTCCAACTATCAGAATGAAAATTCTTTAGGACATAAGTTGAAAATAAAAATGAAATTAACATTTTATGTCCACTAAACTTTCCCTGAAAGCATTATGGTTTCAAAGATAATTAAACAAAATTGACTCTATCATGTCTAAATGCACAATTGGAGCAAATGCATCAGAACTGTCAAGCTATCTGTTGTCTCAAGTGGTTATCATTCAGATATGAAAGCAATAAAACGTCACCTTTACTGTTACCTGAACCCTAGGGAACTGTTACATTTTAACACATGCATTACTGACAATCTGTCATGAAACAGTACTGTACTGTCTTGGAAACTTCTGTCATTAGGAAGGTCCAGGAAAACCAGGTGGGACACATTAACAACTGCTCTATGAAGATGATGTAAATCTATTTGAAGATTACATAGATAACATAAAGAAAAACACCGTAACTCTAATTGACACTGGTAAGAAGGTTGGTCTAGAAGTAAATGCAAAGAAAACTAAGTATATTACAGCATGCAGACCTGTTGCTAGGTAATGGTCCATACACATGCAGCAGAGGAAAGCGTCACGTACGGTGTGATGTCAGGCAACAGTAGAACTGATGTTGCAAGTATCAGTCTCTGTGGGTTCACTTTGGAGCTATATGACTTGGACTCAGTGAGTTCGATTCAGTTCAGTTCAGTTAGTGAATGCAGTGCTGTTGAGTACAGTGGAGTGAAGTCGGTTGGTAAGGAATCAGTTCAGTCTTTGTGAGCTGTTACTGTGAGAAGCTGGTAGTTGAGGCCCGGGAAAGTTCGGGAACATCTGCCACTGAAAGGCGTTATCAGGCAACAGCTAGTGGAGACTGACAGACTGAGAACACTAGTCTGTGTGTGGCAGTGATTTGTAAACTGTAGTCATGAGTTGTATGTTAAAGTGGTCAATAAATCTGATTACCAACATAAACCCCATGTATAGTCACTCAAACATGTGACAATATGTTGCTGTCTCATCACCAGAATTCAGGGTAAAATCATAACATGAAGGCAACTAATAGATCCTTTGAAAATGTGACACAGTTTAAATATCTGGGAATGACAGTAACAAATAAAATTTGATACATGAGGAAATTAAGAGGAGACTGAATTTGGATAATGCTTGCTACCATTTGGTCCAGAACCTTTTGTGTTCTTGTCTGCTATATAAAAACTAATCTATACAAAACTATAATTTTGCCCATGGTTTTGTAGGGTGTGAAACCTGGTCTCTTGACATGAAGAGCGGAATATAGACTGAGGGCGCTGAGGAGAGAGATGAAGTGACGCTAGGTTGGAGAAAACTGCATAATGAAGAGCTTCATAACTTGTACTCTAGTAAGTAGAATGATGAAGTCAGGGAGGATAGGATGGGATGGGCATGGCATGTAGCACGAATTGGGGAGAAGCAGAATGCATATAGGATATTGGTGGGAAAGCCTGAAGGAAAGATACCACTGGGAAGACCAAGACGTAGGTGGGAGAATAGTATTAAATTGAACTTAGAGAGATAGAATGGGTGGTATGGACTGAATTAATCTGACTCAGGATAGGGACTGGTAGAGGGCTCTTGTGAACATGGTAATGAAGCTTTGGGTTCCATAAAACATTGGAAAATCTTGAGTAGTGCGTAACTGGTGGCATTTCAAGAAGGGCTTGTCTCTATGTAGCTAGTTAGTCGTGAAAACTTCAGCCACAATGATATGGGTCTTGAATTTGGCTGGAAGAACAGTAGGTGCATTTTAGCAGGTGCACAGTTGTGCGTCTACAAAATCATTGCTTTTTCCCATGCTATAGGAAATTGCATTCTATGTGATTCTAAGAGAGACTGTATGATGAGCAGGTCTCACATGCACAAGACTCAGAATACAAGTGATCAGTGACATCTGACGAGTATGGGAAAGGACCGTATTGAGCCACTTTTGGGCATTTGAGGTTATTTGAGTTTCTCATGGTAGTGACTACATTCTTCTGGGTCATGAGACAGCATGACATTTCAGAGGACCATCAGGGTGAAAGATTAGGCCAAGGAAGAAGGAATGCTAAGCTCAGCTGGTTTCAACATATAATTTTCATATTTAATAATTTCCTAAATTTGATGCTGCTAGAAACAGCTGCGATTTTGAAGGAAACTACATTCTATGAATGCAACCTTCCTGGTGCCTGAGACTGCCTCACATGTGACTACAGCTCTACACTGCTTGGAAAAGTAATATGAAAATGTTCATCCTGCTGGTGTGTTATGCTTCCTGGCCATATCTATGTACAACAGATTTGATGGTGTTTACAAATGTTCTTTCCATTTCTAGGGGATAATTTAACGATGTCCGTGAATGGTGGTGATGTTCCTGTTTTTGAATGATGGACATGGAAATAGGCCGCATTTCCAACATTTTCGAAGCATCTGCTGCTTCTTTTATCAGGGTAGAAAAATGGGTCAGGATTGTCAGGAGGCCAATATGGCTGGTTTGTTGAAGTGGCAACAGGCAAGAAACATAAGAGGCAGTGGGGTGAGAAGAAGAGGAAATAATTATTTAATCTTCTACACATCTTGCTTTCTGTATTTCACACACACAGTTCTGGCTCCGGTCTTTTCACCCTCTATATCATGTACCATTTTCCCACTTGATCCTGAAGGTGGAGACTGAGAGTTCATTTGAAACATTGCCAACATAACTTATGTCCACATGGTGCCACCACCCAAAAATAGGACCACTGTCACCAGTGGATCACACTGAAAGCCTGAAATCAGTAATATCTGTGAATAATTTCCATGGTAACCATCGAAGGGGGCATGAGGTAGCGTAGTGGTTGAGGCACTATGCTACAAGCCGGAAGGTTGTGGGTTCAAGTCCCAATGTGGTCATTGGATTTATTTGAATTGACCTAATCCTTCCAGCCGAAGAACTGATATCATGAATGGAACAGTCATTTAGTGTTCAGTTGCTATGATCCCAGCCTAACAATTTTATGGTTATTTTTTTTCAGTTTAAGCTGTTTTTTAATTAATCATTTAATGATACTGTCAGTACCTAGAGTATACAGTACCAGTGATAGGATTAATGAATGTGGAACAGTTGGTGGAATAAGAATTGATGGAGGAAATCAAAGTACTTGGAGAAAAACTGCCCCATTGTTCCGCTATGTCTGCACAAATCCCAGGCAAATTGATCTGGGGCTACTGCGGTGTGAAACTGGTGACTCACTGCGTGGGCTATGGCATGGCCTACTTCAAGATGTTTCTTATCTTAGCATTTCAGTACAATAACCACTGAGAAACAAAACGGGGAATTAATTTGACTCATCTATAACTGGATACCATTTCTTCAGCCCCTTAATGCATATCTGGTTTAAAATATTTATGTATCAGTAGAAAAAGTACGTTACTTCACTGGTAAAGCAGGTTAAGTTATCCTAATAAATACATTCCAAAATGGGTAAAACGGCCACCAAAATTTCTGGCACTGAAATTACATTATTAAAGCCTTTCAAGATATAACACTTCTAAGAAAATGCAAAAGATACATGAAATTATATGTTAACTTGGAACCCTAAAATTACAATTTTCATTGAAATTAACATTAAAGTTCAGAAAACCAACTGAAGTAAAAATTATGTACATACCAATTATACAAATATTATACAACTGACACACATTGTTGTTGCCTGGCATCACTTTCATTTCATTTAATTATATTTCCTTTCTGTTCCAGTCAATTGATCCTATAAATGATTAAAATGCTACTTTTACACTAAAACACAAAATTAAGTTTTCTGTTTTCCCTTTCTTTTTTCTCATATTTCAACAAGTGAATTTACACGTTTACTCTGCTTGTGTTATTTGCAAAGAGCATTATATTTTAGTGCTGTTACTCTAGTTAGGATACATTAACTCACTAGAACAGTCTCTCAAGCTTGCAGATGTCTCACTCTGTAGTTTAATCAGTACATTACTGCGCGTTATGTAATGTGGTAAAAAGTAAATGAATGCATTAGAACACAAACAGAGAAGCAGCTTGATGGGTTTTTCTGGCAATCAAAATAGTGAGGCCAACTTCTATAACTTACAGGTGCATGGCTTGCAATATCACAACCAAAAATTCTTATATAACATGTGTAAGAACGCTGCAACATAAGATGTACCTTGCATAAGCTTGTTATAGCAGTTCATTCAAATTATAACATGAGAGAATGCTCTCAAGATTAATACAATGGTTTCTTAGTATAGCACCTAATTCTAAAACACTTCATCAGACATCTGATATGTTCACAGATAACGGCTAGCTGCATCAACAATGAAACAAAAATAAGGCACAAGAAGTAATATAAATTCTTGTTATGTTACTGGCACCATCATTCAAGTAATATACAAATTTAAATGCAATAAATGTTTCTATTAGCATGTAGAATAATCTGCTAATAATTATTAGCAGATATACTATTATAATAGTTCAGACTGTCTCAGTCTTTAAAACGGGATGAATGAAGCACCACATTATGTATAAGACCTGATGCGGCTGCAACAACTGAAAGTGGCAGCTACCAGTCACGCCAATTTCAAACAGGTCCTGTATTTCAGAGACCTTCAGTGCCTCCATCATCAGAAAATTAACAAGTATTTCCTGATGAAAGAGACACTGGAATGTTCTGTTCTGTTCTGAACTGATGTGACTGGTAGCCCCCTCATAGTATCTTTGAAGTCACTCTAGCTGATTAAATTAATGTCATACTGTTCCAACCAAAAACTTATCATAGGCCCACACATTCACCTCAGTCTTCAATGCAACTTAAAACCGTTCACAGTCTCTCTTTAGGGTCATTCCATGTGAAGTCATCCAGATAGGTCACTCGACCATTTAAAAAAAATTATATTTTGTACACTTATTTCTACATACTTTCATACTTCAAAAATAGTAAGAAAAATTAATCCGCTTGGTTCTCCTGGTACAGCCGTTTTTATAATGTGAAAAACGCGTTTTCGGCTGAAATGGAGGTTTGCGTTCTCTTCTGCATTTTGATAACTATTCAAGCTAGAGAATCTAATAAAAAAAAAAGTAAAGCTATCCTTGTACCAGGCCGTGAAGGCTCATAGGGTTGTGAGATGTTGAGGGTCCAACACAATCTAGACAATCGGCTCAAAGAAGGTGGTAAGGTTGTCAGCCTTACGCGCTGGCCGCGCTTTAGTCCCCAGGAAAATTATTTAATTAATTCCTGGTACTTATTTCTTTTAGAGGCTGAGTAAACCCCAGGGCCTAGTGCGGCTGGAAGGATTAGGTCCATTGAAAAAATCCAATGACCTCATCAGGACTTGAACCCGTAACCTTCCAGCTTCCTCAACCAACTATGCTACCGCGTAAAAAACCAATTTGTTTCGCACGATATGGACTACAAATCATGTCATTACAAGTTTTCACTCATCTCACTTCCTCTACGTGAAATTAAGCTTGAAACTTACTTATCGATTTTTTTTTGGGGGGGGGGGATATTTTTGACCTTCAAAAACCAATGGGAGGGGGAAAGTATCAGATCTGTGGTTTCTACCCTTTCTTGTTGCCTACATGGGACAACGTAGTTTTGAGAATTAAACTTCATGGTGCAATTTAACTACCACAGTGTAGTCAGCCATCAAACATGAACTTAACTCATAACAACATGCATCACATCCAGCTTATAATATATAGATATTAAATTGCTTGGGGGCAGAAAGCATGAAGACAAGTCAATAAACCTTACCTCTAGATGTGAACGATTTTGGGTATATTCACAACACTGTTTTATATCAAAACATATGTCAGACCAGTTTACAATTCTTCGAAATCACCCTTCCAACTAATGAGGGTTATGGAAAAGCAATTAAAGAGAAGCATGGAGAAAAATCTGAACTCAGTATGGTCAAGTACCAATTTCACATAAAAGACAACTTATCTTCATTTTCTACTGACCAACAAAATTTAGTACAGAAAATGTTTAGCAGCATACCAGAACTAGCACAGCACAGTACACACTGTACGGCCATGGGGAACATCTGAGTTCACCAAAACTACTAATACTACTTTCTACTGCACAGTTCAACACAGGTTTCATTTTACAATTGCATAACTGGGCAATAATATTGTTAGCTGAGGAAGAATTCTGTATAATTAAGCACGTATTAAATCCTACTGCTGACGAGAAATCATCATGTTGACAATGCTGCCAGTCTGCTTCAAAATACCGACTGCCTGGTCATGCTCCACTTTCGTGAAATCTGTCCCATCCACCTCCAAGATTTTGTCTCCTGGCAGGAGGCAGCTGCTGGCAGGACCATTTGGATGCACTTTTGTGACAAATATTCCCTCCTACAACAGGGATGCCAAACCTTAATTTCAATTTAACTTATTTCAGTTTTAAAAAACTTTCCATATTTTTAAAACAATAATAGTAATAAATCAAATGATCTCACATGTGCAAGTAGGAACCTAGAGGGAAAAAAAATCAGTTTACAATTGAAACACTGTCCCTTTAAGCACAGGTGTCATGCACAAAACAAATAACTTTTATTTAAAACCAAAAATCAGACCTTTGGAAGAACCTCCTGCATACATCCATCAAGCAGAATTCTACAGGTTCCCAAAACAGATCCAGAAATATCAACCCATATAAACACGGCGAGGTACATGACCACTTAAAAAAGACTACTGGATCATGTGAATGGAAACGCTGAAACAAGCCATCCACACTTGTTTTGCTGATGAAGATTGCAAATGAGAGGACATTCATGCATGGGGAACTGTGTGAAGAACACAAGACTTGAGGTTCTCACAGTGGTGACTAAGAAATCCTGTCTTTGGGGATGTGATACGGGGTAGTGGTGTTGTGGGAGACTGTACTGCCTCCAACTGAAGATGGCATGACATCCATGGAGAGAGTATTCTGCATGCATGAAATATATCTGAAGGCACTATCATGGCAGGAGGAGCCACGTCAAAGCTCAGGCTGTCAACACTGGCTGTTACTGTCGATGGCTGGGTTTGGTTCCACGGCATTTTGTGTTGGAAAAAAAAGGGGCATTAGAGGCAGGCTATTCTCCCTCCAGTCATCATTTCATGGATACCAGATAAGAGGCATGTACCAGACCCGACCACCCGGCACAGTCATAGATTTTGATGATGATGATGATGATGCAAGGATTGTATATCTATATTTTGCAGATGCAACACAGGAATGCACTGAATGAGTCATAGCAGTTTCACAGGGTAAAACCTTGTGTTTTAGATGTGTACAGTTTTCAGCTCATGTGTATTCCATTCTGCACAAGCCAATGAATGATAGCATTGCTAGGTTTCATCAGTGCAAAAGAAATGATTTGATGCAAAACCATGCTGTGACATGTCACCAAAAAAACATAAATCTTGGAATCCTGTAAGCACCAAAATATCACGGAAGTGTTCACTTATTATACAGAAACAAAACCACACTGCCAGCCATAACAGTCGAGATGTGCCGCATCGTTTTCCCAACAGTCCACAACAAAGTAGCATACAGAGAGCCGGTTTGTTGCTAGAGGAGTCGTATGATTCCCAGGGCCATGAGACAGAAGCATATGGTCATGAGTCCCTCAGACCTGGAACAAGACTGACTGGGCTGGCAATGTCCAGCAGCAATTTATCAGATCAGACAGATAAAACATGTCTTAACAAAAGCAGAATGCTTCTCTGCAAACATCGACATCAAAACAATTCACATACCTGCGAACAAAAACGTCCACATGGTCAGACCTACAAAGTTTAAGGTAAGCCTAAGTCACTGCGCTATGCTGCATCTCACATGAGTGCGACAGTGTACGCTAGGCAGACAGACCAAACCATTGAGATCAGTGTTCCATATACACACATACCCGGGCGGGCTAGAGAAGTCAGCAGGGCCACGACATCTAATTCGGCAATATCACCACACTGGATAAAGCACCAGGCTACATGGCCCAACCAATATAGGCCATTGTGTTCAGGCTCCACCCCAGAAACATCAACAGGGGCAGCGGTCAGTTGGTCCTGGTGCCCGATGACTAATATAATAATGCAATAGCGAGATGAAATAATCAGAGACAGGACCAGGACAAACAAACTTGTCACTCTACCCACTAACTCTCCATTGGCTCATGCTCAATTCCAACCATGGGCCACGGGCTGCTATATGGGCGGGACAGTCCGAATCTAATGTTGCATCAGACCCTACTGATGATCCCTGCAACCAACCTACATAGCTGATTGCCTGAGAAGATTCTGTGTCAAAGTCTGACTTGCAAATAAGAATTCAGAATTCATGCTTATCAATATATTGGTCGACTAACTTACATTATCATGTTTCTCTAGAGGAGATGTGAACCCATGACCACCAGTAATACTGAACCCAAGACCAGGATTCTTTTTAATTACAACAGGAAACTGAAACACAAAGAAAATATTAACAATAATATGTCAATTGAAACTTGCACTAAGAATGCTGAGTTTCATGACCCTTACTGTTTATAACATTAGTCTTATATTTTTAAGCTCACTGAAAAACAAAATTGACTAGTTCGGATCTAGGAGTTCTTCAGAGACCTGACTCCAGGGTGTCATTATTTAACATTACATTCTTTTTTATAGAAAACAAGAACAATAACTACTACTGCAATTACAATACAATGATGAATGTCACATGAAAGTGTTAATTTTGTACCCTTTCCTTTGACTTAAACTTACATTTCCCTTCCAGTCATCACAGTGAAACTGCTAAGAAGCATGTGGAACTCAGTAACATGTTCATTCCCATGCTGCAATACCAATCACGTGTAATGTGGAAGGAAGTAAAGGAGAAAGGAGGGAGCACAAAAACAGAGAACATGCAGTGATGCCAAATGTAGCTTTGTGGAACACTCGTTTTCACTGAATATGAACTGTTCTGTGAAATGTACTTGCAAAGAGAAAACTCAACCTAGTCACCAATTCTAGTGAAAAACACTATAACAACATTGTACCTAGCATATTCATAGTGTCTGTGAAACTACCCACAGTTCAATGAAAATCAAGGAAAGTAAAGAACATGGTAAAAGTATCCATACACTCATATCATGTGACTGAATCCCTTGGCTACATATCCATGTTTCTTCTTGGTACTTCACGACATTACATTAATTAATGCCACTAAATTAAGACATATTATAGAAACCTGAACACAAAACCCACTAACACAATACAATACCTCAAATCTGTAGTCTTAACATTCAGTATCCACACTGTTTTCGTTCAGAAACATGAAAGGGAGTGATGAAATTTTTGGCACAATTTACTTACTTTATAAGAAAATAAAATTTTATGGTATGTCTGTCTCTTTTCCCCTTCATATTTATTGAACCATATGACATAATTTAATGAAACTGTTAATGTGCTGCATGCTACTAAAAGCCATTTCATATTCATAATTACTGATATCAAACACACCACATTGTGTGGGACAAACATCACCTCAACTTAATTTAAGGTCCTGAGATGTTGTGGAGTAACAAATTCTACAGTTAAATGATATTTTAAACTGAGTTTGTTAGTTGATATGTAAAACCTATGATAGCTGCAGCATAACAGTGTACCTGTGCCCCTGGCAAAGGCTTCATGACCAAGACATAAAAGCAAGAGTTATACAGATGCTGTATTCAGGCAGCTGTTAGTCATACTGACTGGAAACAAATCTTTTTAGAATGCAACAGACAAGCAGAGTTAGGCATGTAAGATTTTGTAAGGAAACACAATACAAATATATCTACAGATTCTGTATTCCTTATTTTAACAATCAGAATCATGATGAAAGTGCCAAACTTTGAGGCCACATCTGACAAATTTAACATATGCAGTAAGTATAAATTATACGGATCACTGAACTGCAGTTACTAAGTTACATTTGTCGCTAGTTTCACCATACACACAGAGGCACCTGAAGGAAAGCAGATATCATTGCACTTCCCAGATTATACTTGGCATTAATTCTGATGTTGAGGAACGAATCACCTGTCTTACAATAATAAGAACGTGAAGCCTGAATTTGCACTTACAACAGTGGCATTCTTATGTGGTCCAAACATCCAAGTCTTGGCCTGCCTTCCCGGAGACTCCAAGCTCGTTCTTTGGCTGCTTTCTGCAGCAGGTGCTGAAAACAGTCTTTGTGACATAGAACCCAACCTTGCAGATGACGGTGATGTTGGAGTGGATGAAAGAGTGGGAATTTTGGATGCTAATGGGCTTTGTTCATTTGAAAGTGCTGATTTGGAGTTTCCATGCAAAGCAGTGCCTTCCAAACTTGAATAGCCACTCAGTGGACTAAGTTGTGAGGAAGAGGGTGACATAGCGGTGGGTATTTTAGAGGAGATATTGAGGTTGTGGTCTGTGGCAGAGAAGCGCGGTTTGTTAATGTAATTATATCCTGCTTCTTTCATGATGGGTGATGCTGATGAGTCCAAGGATGTATTTAACAATGGTGCAATGGAACCAGGCCGGCTGCTACTGGAGGACTGAGAGCTGAAAGAGCCTCTCTTTGGTGACTGGAGACTGAAAGCTGTGGAATAAAATGCAGGCTGAGGAATTCTAGTTCCAGAGCCAGAGTCTGACAAGGACTCGGCTTCAGAAACAGAAGAGGACCAGCTATTGCCAAGAACCGAGCTGGCTGATACATCAGGCCTTCCACGATTCAATGAAGCTGAAGGTGATGGAAACTTGGAATTGGGGGAGGATATTTTCTCAACCAAGGAAGGAGCGTTATTCTGAGGTTGTGACGTGATGTTCCCCTTCGCTAGCCCATGCGACACGGATGGTAAAAGGGAAGGAATTTTTGTTCCTGTTCTTGACGCGGATGTTGGTGACTTTGGTATCACATATTTCGATGATACTGGAGTCACAGAAGTTGGAGAGCTGCACGCTGGCTGCTGAGGTGCAGGTGCACAGACAGAATCGCCTGCAGAGGGTTTATCTTCGGTACAAGTTGAAGGTTTATTTAGTAAATCATCCGCTTCTTGAGTGGATGATTTTAAACACACAGGATCTCCAAGTCTCACTGGAATACGACACTTTGGACTCAAAGGCGTGTTCTTTGCGTCATCTCCTTGTGGACTCCCCACAGTGGGACCAGACATATCTTTCCTTGCGTCACTTACTTTATTTTCAGTTTCTGCAACACTGTTCTCTGTGGTCATAGTGAGTGCAACTGTGGCAACAGGGGAAGTGGTGCTGGTAACAGCAGAAGTACTGGCTACTGTCACGGTAGTGTTGACTGCCTTCGAGGCGCGGACAGAAGTGAGGGAGGGAATGGACGAGCTGGGAATGGGAGTGGCATTCACAAACGTTGAAATGTTAGCTTCCTTGCTTTCGGTGCTATCACTGTGTCCCTGAAATGAGGGTGTTTTGTGTATTGGGACCTCAGACTCATCAACTGGTGCATCTTGAACTTCAGTCTTGGTAATGACTTTGTTTCCAGTCTCCCTTCTGGAAGACATGTCACCAATTGGTATGGACACATCATCATTTCCTTTATTTTCTTCCTGGTGTTCAAAGTGACTAACTGTTTGCGTGTCCTCAACTTTCTGTGTACCAGACTCTTCTTCAGGAGACTCAACTCTCTCTCTTGAGCTGTCCCCTTCATCAGTTTTTTCAGATGATTTTTCAGCAACAGACTTGAGCAGCACTGAGGGCTTTGGTGCACTATTGAGAGGTTCTGGAAATAACATTTAGCAAAACACATGTTTAGCGTTTGTGGAGATCCAGGATATGAGCAATGCCTAAGTGTTATTTGGCTTAGGGGCTCACAAGTGCAGAACACACAGAGATTTGGTAGTATTCTGAGCTACAAACATTGAACCACTATGATTAATAAAGCACAATTAAGCTATGCTGTCTATTCACACACACTTCTGCCTCCCAAACATATGCAACAAAACTGCACAATGGAATGTGAGAAACATTTCGAGTTCCTACAATTGTTTGTACAGGGGCCCTTTCTGCAGGATCACCACAAAAACTGTCTATATAGTTGTATCTATAAAGATATGGTGATTCTCAAGCTCGGTGTATAGTCACGAATATGAACCACACTTCATATTGTGCTGAGTAAGTCACTGAGAGCAAAGTGCATTCACTTGTATTTTATGTACCTGAAACCTTTACACTGAAAATTAATATGTAATTTGTTTTAAGTTTTACTGAAGGCAAACAACTTCTCTTTGGAAGGCAAACTTACATATGATGGAGTTTCCTGCATCAAAATTTGATCTGCTATTCACTAATTGAAAGAGAATCAACATTTTGAAAGCTGACGTTCATATAGTATTTAAAATTTCAGTTCCTTCCTTCTAAATAACATCCCATGTATAATTACAAATTACAGTTATTAAGGTTTCAGAAAACAACTGCTGTTTATTTTGAGAAGCAACAAAACACATGTACAATGTGTAGCTGAAACAGTCCTGTTCCTGACAAACACAGCTCCAGTCCATAAAGAGCTAGACTTCGCAGTGCCAAGATCAATGGAGCAAAGCTAAAGAACTGGCCTAAAATTGACTGGATTACTTCTCAATATTCTACTGTTTTTGCTACACTCAACAGCTAAAAGCAAATAATCATAAATCGGCACTAATCCACGACTACTTGTATCTGTGAAGCTGAAGGGAGCAAAATCTTTATCAGCAGAAGTGCACAACATTAGGTCACATATACAAGGCGTGACAATTCAATAAGACTGCACTCACAAGCCTCATTGTACTTAAATTTTATTCTGAACTACAGTTCCCTCCAGCACTGTTTCCAGCTGCTGCAGCCCTTCCAGAAGTCACTCCTGTACAAGGAGATTAAAATGGTCACCGTAACCTTCTTCACATTTTACACAGCTTCAAAATATGAACCTTCAAGAGGACTCTTCTTGGTAGGGAAAAGAGAAATCTGGTAAGTAACTGTGGTACTGTAGAACCATAAACAATTTTCGGCAAAAACTCAAAGTGAGGTGCTGTGTGTGAGGGCATGTTTTCGTGACCCATTTGTCAAAGAACAAACGCATTGTCCTAGACACTCTAAACTTTAAAACTTCTGGGATATAACATGGTGTGGTCCATCAAAAGTCAACCGACATTTCAGGGTAACATATAGCTTCCATCTTCAGAGCTGAAGAATAAGTCAAGCAAGAAACTACCTGCTTTCATACTGGTCTCTTGCTAGGCTTATTCTTCAACCCTGAAGACGGAGGTAATATGTTCCTCTGAAACACTGGCTGACTTTCAAAGGACTACATAGCATTGTATCCCAGAAGACAGAACTCTTCATAACCACTGGTGTGTGAGAGCCTCATATCCTAAAAAATTTTAAACTTCTAGCTGACAGTTTGATCCAGTGGGACAGATCTTTGGTGCACTGTCCCTCTACAGCCAAAGAAGCCAATTAGCACTGTCTTGGCTTTTCATTTTGACATCTGCACTCCGTTGGGGTGGGTTAAGCCTTGAAGTTCCCACTGCTTTGGCTCAGGGTCTTGTCCCCAGTGATGATTCATCATTCTCCCTCATCCACTGCAAACTTCCCTCATTTGGTGCATCCAGTCTGCAGTGATGTTCCTGTGCTCCGTCCTTATACATATCTTCATCACAAAATCTTCCACCAAAATCAAGCGTGCAGTATCTCTCTGTTGGTATTCACTCATCTGCAATCATCTATGCCAGAGTTCTCATCTTTCCAACAATTTCCACTGACTTTTATGTTGATGGATGTCCTGGTTGGCTGGCAAACACAATTCTGTTCCTTCCTTCAGAAAACAGTGCACACCATCCTAAGTGTTCTCGACAAAACCTATTCTCCACACACCTGCTATAACATTTCAAACATTCTGTTCTCCCAAAATTTGAACAAGAATTTCATACTGTCACGCTCTTAGAGTGACTACAGATTGGGATCTGGACTGAATGAGCTCTTGCAACTTATAACTACAGAACAAGTGAGGATTACGCCCCAACTGTCTGTTCTACACGCTTCACAAATCACTGCAGGACACACTAGGTCTACTCAGTCTCTTACAGTCTTCACCAGCCATGGCTTGGCAGCGGCTTCCAATGGCTGATGTTCCCCTTCCTCTGGGTTCTCGAACTGTCCCTGGCCTCAGATACCAGCTTCTCACAGGAGAAGTTCACAAGCACTGAACTGCAGCAGTCCTCTGACTGACTATGGCTCCTACCTTGTCCTGCTCATAACACCCTGGTATGTACCATGTAGAAAACACTGTTCCTCTGTTGCAGTGCAATTGTTGCCATGGAAACATGCTTGTTTGTGGAGCTGCTACTTAGCAGTGGATATTGTACAGTTGCTAATTTTGTGGCCGTTGCCTAGCAACAGGTCTACATGCCATGATACTGATTCTTTGTTGAACATATTGATGACCAATTTTCATGAACAGCTATCCGAGTGCTACTTCAGCTGAAGCACGACAGCACTGCACTCACTCAACTTGTCATGACAAGTCTGCTACTGAGTAGGCTTCAGACATCTACCTATAGGTGACAGCACTTGTCATCAACCAGTGTAACTCATGCCTCACAGTGTTGACAGTCTCATTAACCTTTAAGAGTCGGCATTTAAACCCCCGACTGCGCTGCTGCCGGAGTTAAATTGACGTTGCCCTTTTAATATTGTAGACTTTCAGAAAAAACTACATATTTTCCGTTCTATGCAGCTTAGAAATACGAACTAAAAACCGCCTGAAAGAGAATGAAATTTCCTACAATATACCTATGGCAATTTTTACAAATAAAAATTAACTGTGATTGTTATGTCATGAAATTCAAAATATACTCTCTGTTATATGTGTAATGAAATTCCAAAAGACTTACCCATAATTTTTTCTTCAAACTTGAGACGTCGTTATATCCAAAATACATTGACACTATACACCAAAATGTTTGGTCAGACTGTACACGAGTTTCAACTCGTTGCGTCGTGTAAGTTTACGCTACTATAGATACTGCGTGCGGGAGCGCGGAAAGGCAGAGTTTGCTTCAGCGCGTTGTGAAGGTCACACAGACCTCACTTCTCATACGCTGGTAGACAATCTGGTTCAGTCTCTCGCTTAGCGAACAAACAGGAAGTTATTGTTTCTATCTGGCTGGCCGGACAGTGTTGTCAATGTTCAGTTCCAGACGACTCAATGAAAAATCTTGGCTTCCCCAGAGAAACACCAATTACCGTAATAAATCCCCTCATGCGATTGACGAATAAAATCCAGCCCCAAATATATGTTCATTGACAAAGGACACCCTAAAATCACAGTTTCTTTTTCATCACACACAGGTGCGCGTGTGCCAAATTTCATGCAGCTCATCTGGATCCAGATGTCTGGAATTACGTGCACGTCTCTCACGTTCCATTTTGGGGGGGGGGTTTGCTGATTGTTCGGATACACTGATACCGAAAGTCACAGTGATGAGGATGCCTTTTATTCACAACGTAATTTTGTGACAGTCTGACACTGACTTCCTGACTCCACTGACTTCAGTACAAAACAAAAAAAGTAACCCTGAAAGCACAGTCCGCCACTGACTCACAAGCTGATAATTCAGACACTCACTAAACACGTCACACTTCCTTGAGAGCTACAGAAGCAGTGATCTGCCCGCACAGAGGAATGTTGGGTCAGCTTTTCTGTGAAGAAGCTTCCACTCTGTTTGGCTGACCAAGTCACAAACAGTCTTACCTACATGTAAACGAAATCGAACCCAGTGCCATGATGAAGGGTTTTATTGTTCAGAGCCAACAACTGGACCTCTGACTTGAACTTGCGTGGGTTTGTTTTGGTTTCAAACTCAAGGTCTAACCGTCAGCACTTCTAAAGTGAGCTCATGTCTTGCGTCCAGTATACTGGACTTTCGGCATCTTCGAGGTCACAGGTACCGTCCGGTATACTGGACTTTCGGTCGTTAAAGGTTAAGTACGTAGCCCTTGAAGACCAGAATTGAAAGCACTACACACTAATGATCAGAGAGGAAGAAGCAAAGGCTTAACTTTTGAAACTATTCCAGCACTTTGCATGGGATTTCAAGAAAGACTGGGAATGCTGCGGAAAGCACATCTACCTACCTTTATAATTACTGACTGCATGTTCAGGAGATATGGATACGTCTGGAGGAGACAATACTTCCTTAGCAGGAGCAACCAGAGGCACCGGTGTCTGTGGGGACATAGCAGCTGCTGGACTTGCAGACCTTACTTGAAAGTATGCTGCTTGTTTGGAGTATGCAGCTGCTATGTGGTAAGGTGGTGGCTGTGGCTGCTGGTGTGGCTGTTCTGTGGTAATACTGGGTCTGGGGGACTCAATCACAGTTTTCTGCATAGCAAGGGGTGATCTCTGTGAGTCAGTGACAGTTGAAGAACTCTCAAGAGGCATGGAAATACTTGGAACTTCTTCTCTTTGCCGGAAAAATTTCTCACGTTCTTCAGCCATATTTGTTACCTGGCGGACGTACTTTGCCTCTCGTATGACTGGTCCAGAATCGGATGCCAACACAGGTGAAGTCTCATCGGTGCAAATGTTAGCGCTTTTGTACTTACTCGCAGTTTCTGAATTACCTGCATTTTGTCCCAAGGAGTCTTCTTCATTCTCCTTGTTCTGAAAATAATGAAATCATTGTTTTAATTGTGAAAAGTTCAGCCACTTGGGAATGGAATTAGTTCCACTAGGGGCTCTGTTAACTACAAGGGGAGCATACAGGCTGACACTTGACAAGTCCAGGGACTCTGCCTCATACTGCTGCATCACGGGAACGTCCTCATGTAGAGAAACCAATCTTACTGGGCTGCTTTATTAATTTAAAATTATAGCCAACTGGAAGCAGGCATTTCAATTTGAGCACCATTTTGGCTTCAGACACTAAAATGACATCCATGTCTTTTATTATACTAGAGATGGGCATTAATAGTTCAGCTGTCCTTTAGAGGACATTTTCAGAAGACCTGAAACCACACTGTCTGGCACCTCATGTTCAAATTCGTTACCCAGAATAATTACAAATGCACTCTCAGCTTAAGCCTTTGGTGCTTTCACATGGTCAGCCTTGTTGCAATGAACAGTTTAAATCATAAATAAAATAATTCATACTGCACTTGCAGGAAAGTGTTTTGTTGCTTCTCTGAAACTAGACAAACTTTGTCACTACCTGTAAAATACCCTGAGGAGCTGCAGGTCTCATCGGCTATACGTAAGGTGCCAGGCATGGCCAGTTGCAGTGTGAATTTAACATAAAATAGGATACAACTGCATATTTTTCTGATAATATAATTCATAAGGAATAATAGGTTGTAAATACTAATTTCATTAATCAATAATATTGTCACCACTAGTTTTCAGTTGTCTTCCACAAGTAAGTATAAGTCTCTGCTATGCAGAGACCTTGAAACAAACAATAAGACAATAGCTGTTGCTCGGTAACAGCCGGTAAACACGTCAGTGATACCCAAGCTACTGCTAGAAACTGCACGTAGCAACAAGAGAGGAACTGTCGTGGGTGGTGTTTTCTGTTGGGTCTAACCCAGGGACTAGACAACGAGGACCCCAGGCCAGCTGGGGAATTGAGAGAATTCAGTTACAGGATACTCACCAGACAGAAAGGACCTGAGTGCGGGAAGCTGAAGAATCTCCACTATTAATATCCACTGCTAGGGAACGGCTGTTGAAGACAATGTGGGCTAGGGAAGACTTAGTGTTTGCATCGGGGATTTGTGAAGTGTGGAGATCAGTGATGGCACTGTAATTACTTGTAGTTCCAAGTCACGTCAATAAATCCAAAATCCAATCAAATAACCCATCTATAGTCACCACTAAATCGTGAAAATATGAAAGTTGAAAAGAAAAGGTCACAAGATACGTGACATGAGACTAACTGTTATTGGCATCCAGGAGGAATTACAACATTTCATCAACAGATTAGACCACAACAAAGGGGTTGCTTATATGAGCCCTTGTACTGCATCTGACTGCAATTGACTGTGCTTTCCCCTTCCAAATTTACCTCTCCTCACTCTGCACTTTGAAGAAATGCAGTACTCTACTTAATGAGGCAAGATGAGAGTCATTTGGTTTCACAACATGGAGTCCCAAATCAGTCACACAGGATGTGTGAGGCCGCTTCATCCTCGTTATGGCACCTTTCACAAATGACTGTTTACTGGTCACAGTGTGAACAGGCATCTTTTCAAGTGACAGTGTCCTGTAGACAGACTTGTCACATGTCTCAACTGGTTCCTATTTAATCAAAGCAGTTACCAGGATTTCTTGTCTGGTGGGTCCCTGAAAGAAACCACTTGCATGTTTTTGATCACATATGGATGTCCATTACTTGTGGTGGTCCCTGTTCATCCAGTCCCTGATGACATGTAGTGCAACTCTTTTTGAGCTGTAGCATGTCAGTTCAGGTACGTAAGTCTTGCCGAACGGTCAGAAATCACATACACACATACCAGTGGTACTGTTATACTCAAACTGTATCATTAGGGAACAATGAGAATCAAAGACTTATTTAGAATTCATCAGGTACATGCTAAGTCTTCTCCAGCCTGCAGTCTCTTCACTATCCGTCCCCTGGCAACGGCTTCTAACAGTGGACATTCTTCAGCTTCTGTGCTCACATCATTATTGTCTGGTGACTCCCTTGAAGCTGTCTTGTCTTGCTTCAGTCGTCTTCCTTATAACCCTTTTGCTTGGACTGAACAGAAAACACAGTTTTAAACAATAACCTTATTGTTGTAGACACACATTAACAGATCCGTTCCTTAGAAACAAGTTCCATTACACAGCTGTTCTATTGTTGTGTGCATTACTCAGCAACGGCTGCCGTTTGCAGAGTCACCATATAGCAACGGGTCTACATGCCACAATACTGTCACCTGTAGGGGGCACAAGACAGCAGCTGCATCTTAAGATTGAAAGAGGAAAAATGAGTTCGTCATGAAGGCTTTTGGACTGCAGTTTGGGAAGCAAGTAGCTGGTTTGACTGTCGGGCTATGAAGAATAATGAACTGGAAAGTGTGGAGGGGTCGGCACCCTCCAAAGCAAAGCAAAAAAAATCTAGGAGTTATGGCCCCCACTGGTGAGAGAGAAAGGAAGAAAACTTTGGATGACAGTGATACATCTGGATCTTCTGGCACCTTAGCAGTGAACCCCTCGGGATGAGCTGGCCTTAAGGAGGGAGCAGATGTAGCAGTTGGAGAACAGACAATAGGAAGGAAAGAAATACGGAGCCAGAGAAAAAGAAGACATTGCAAGCACAGGCCTCGGAAGAAAAGGAATGGTGATGCACCATAAGGTTATTCGGGACAAAGAGCCTTAAGGAGGGAGCAATGTGACGTATTTGCTCTATGCAGGAACTGCTGAGCCACAAAGGCCTCGGGGCATGCGTGCGATGGGAGAGTTGCGGATTTTATTGGCATGTTGCTAGGCGACAGCTCTGTGAATGCTTGGATTGTGCAACTGAGCCGCTGCCCCTTGCTACCCTTGCATTTCCACAAGTGACATCACATACCCGCACCCAGCCCATTGCTATGCAACGCTCTGTAAACACCCTTCCATGCTAGGTTGTGATGTCATGCTATCTGTTGCTATGCAATCACTCAGTAAATACGTTCCAATAATATGGGCTGTTTTCTGTATGGTCAGTGTAGAACCTATACAATGACAGTTACAGACAGAACAGATTCCAGTATTTGGGAGTATACGAGTGTGTTTAAGAGACAGCCATGGGAAGTTCGCTGTGTGAAGATTTTAATTATGTGTAATACTTGGAACAATCTAAAGTGCTAGTTCCTGTGATTTGAAGGGACAGTTTCTATGTGGAGATCCATGACTAGTGGAAGACAGAGAATCCTAGTATGTGTGCAACGGTGAACTAGAAAGTGTGTGATTCAGTGACAGCGCTGTATCTAAGTGTAACTAAAAGAGGTTGTAACCGAAGTGCTAATAAATCCAATCATCTGAACTAGAACCCGTCATTTCGTCACGCATTACCCACTGCACGTGACAATATTACTCAGCTTGGAATCAGGCAATATTATGCGTTGCAACAAATGGAACACATCCTGTAAACAAGTTGGAATTGTGTGTTCTCATAGCGGCAATTGTGAAGCCTGAATGTCTACTGGTGTCGCACTGCAGAAGTCACTTCTGTCCATTCTACAAGTAACACACACCTTGCTAGATGCTACAGGATTAACAAGGGGCACTGTGCTGGGCTTTTTAACTTTCGCCTCTTTAATCAGAACACCTTTCGGACCTGGAGACACCATCTCATCTAACAACGGAACATCACCATCACTCTGAAATGAATGAACCAAAGCTCAGTCAAGCACTCAAAAAGTTACAGTTAATGAACACAAAAACATATGCATTAGATGCACTTCACTGTTTCACTCTAATGCAATTTGAAGACAAAATGTTAACAGCCGAATCTCATATTCATGCGCATGCAAACCAACCAAATACCAAAAACTGTGGATGGAAAAGGCTGGTCTAGATGCGACGCTCTACACTTGCATTGGAGGAGGCACTAAGTTCACATTTTGGCCAAGGCATCAGATATCCTGACTGAGATTTTTCATCGTGTTCCTCAATCTCTACAAGAAAACTCCAGGCAAGTGCCTTGCTTAGGCCATGACAATTTACTTCCAATGCAGCAGAGGTGGCTCCGCTTGCCACCTGCTTTCATGCTGGTTTTTTACTCAACCCTGAAGATGACGGCATTATGTTCCTCTGAAACGATGGTTGACTTTCAACAGACTCCATGCTGTTATGTCCCAGAAGACAGCACTCCAGATTATATACCAGTGACTGAGAGGATGGTACATAAACATAAAATTGGGAAGGATGCTGCAGTTGACCAACTTCAGGTAAGATCCTTACATTGCCTGGAAGGTGCAGAAAGCCACACAAATCCCCAGCCAGGATTAGTGCTCTGTGATACAGGATCTGATGCCAGGACCTCCTGAATACGAAGTGGGAGTAGTACCCAACGTTCAATAACATGAGTACCATTTGATGGAAACACAGGAGGGAAATGTGCATGCTTGGCAAAGGGCATAAACCCCTCAGTGGGTTATTATCTGCACAAACAAATAAATACACCACAACTTCTATGCACTGAAATTTACAATGGGATGTAAGTGGTATGATAACAACAATCTGAAGACAATAAATACTCTTGTTCAACTGGGTACAGCAAACTTCTAGCTGTCTGCTATCTCTGCATCCAGAATTCTCATACAACTGGCAAAAGTTTGGACAACAGTTTACTCTTTTATAAAGTTGTGATGCATATACAAGGGTCATCCAGAATTTAAAGACTGCCAGCACCTGTGGGCTACTTGCTAACTTTGCCTGAGATGTTTTCTCCCATCCTCCCTACAGTTTGGACCTGGCTTCAAGTGAATTCCACTTGCCCACACACTTGAAGTAGCTCTTGGGCAACATGCACATGTGAAGTGATGAAGAAGTGAAGAAGAGAGTTTAAGACTGTTACACACCTCCCTGGATGCTCTTCTGGTGTGCTGCTGTTGAAATGAGCGTGCATGTTTTGCCATTGCACGCAGCTCCTTTGGATAAGGGGTAGGAGCACGCACAAGATGTCCAGTCACCTCTGACTCAGCATCTGCTGCGAAGCGGATATGTGGACGCTCCAAATTCTTTGGACTGCACCTTACATCTGCTTCCAATTCATTCCGATTTTCTGTTAACCAATACAAAACAGTGATGAAAGTTTTTTTTTTTTAATATTCAATTGATTCTGGAGCATACTTTACATACAGAACATACTTTATTTTTTTAATGTCTGTAGATTTATCAACCCTTGAAGCTGTATGTTTTTTATAAGATTGCCTTACTGTATCTGTGACTTAGGGTTCCATACTGACCTCAAACATCAGGTGCTACAGCCTTATTTGCTGGAGTGAAAAAGTTTCAAAATGGTACATGAAATTATTCAAAAGGTTATTCAATGTCGCTATTCATAATCCCATGGCAATGTACTGGTCCACATTAAACAATAAGGTAACAGACCCTCTAGAATCCAGGCTCTTTCTGATACAGGGTCTCCTAAACAAACAATGGTCCGCTGTCCCTCACCCTGTATATGGTCATCCTGCAACCAACCTGCCTCTTGAGAGACTGATTGAATGTCATTTCCTAGAGAAAATTCCTGCCACAGGAAAGAAGGCCAGGACACAGAGAAGAGTAAAATGTTATGTGCTCAAAACGCTGAAAATGAAGAGAAACAATTTTTAGGTGCAGTGGAATTGCAAAAGCTATCGCACAAATTTCCACTTAAAATTTGGCTGCTTTCTGCACAAATATACAGAATGTTCAATTCATGCAGCAAGCTATTAAAATTAAAATTTCTTCAGATGTGTGTGAAAAAAAATTATAAAATCATATCATATACATAATTAGCTATGAAGATTTAAAGATTTAAATGCAAAAATTTGAAGAATGTACAACAAATATTACTGCACTACAACACTGAGCAGAATACTTAAATGTCCACACTGAAAGATTAAACATAATTATGTTTATTTAACTCCAGGATACTGAAGAATGTAGGACCTTTGGTGGCATAAATGTGATCAGTTATAACACTGATATAAGTAGGTTTTCTAAAAATTTAAAAACTGCTATTTTATATTCAGGGTTGTCTTGTGCTTGCATAAATATAGTTCAGGTTGTCCATAAAGGTTCTTTACAATTTCAATCTGTCATTACTCATAGCACACTTAAAATACATCTGAGAAATAAACACCACCTGAAAAACCAAACCAAAATCCATGTCTCAAGTTCTACTGGTGTCATCACCCAGAAGAGGGCACCCATGGATGTGATCTGGTGATCTCAGGGGCCACTGAAGAAATTATTCATTCTTCAAGATCTACAAACTGTGTTGATTCGCTCAGCCCAACAGATAAAATGTCACCTCAATGACGGCCATTTTTCAGTTGGTAATTACAATGGCTCTGTGTGCTGAGCACGCCTGCCTCAGGGTGGCAAAAATCTGTTTGCACACATAGTTATCACATTTTCTTTCCCACAAAAGTGACAGGCATAGGATGAGACTCAAGAATCCCTGTATGAACTGCCTGCTATACATAGCTTGGGAAGCAAACCTGCAATTACAGTTCATGCAAAAATTTGTGGTTGGCTAGGAATCCTTCATTATCATGAACATCCTGGAAAAAAAGCCTTCATTTTGTATAAAACTTATTTCATTTATGTGACATTGATATTTTGACAGGGACATGTAGTAGCATAGTGGTTGAGGCACCATGCTACAAGCCAGAAGGTAACAGGTTTGATTCCTGATGAGGTCACTGGGTTTTTCAGTTGATTCAATCCTACCAATCGCACTATGGCCCTGAGGTCAAGTCAGCGTTTAACAGAAATGAGTACCAGCAATTTTCCTGGGGGTAAAAGTTGGCCGGGCAAGAAGCTAGCCTCATTGGCATCTATGAGCTGCCTGTCTAGAAAATGTGGGAGTCTTGACATCTCACAACTCTATGGGCCTCCACAGCCTGTGACAGGGAATATACTGACAGCATCAAGGGGTTCTTTTCTTGTTATATCATGATTCTACTGTTATTTCAACTGTACCTTAAACATGTTCTGAGAAATAAAAGACTAAAATTGTAGAGACCAGTTACGGACACTCTGTACATTGTCTGTTACGAGTGGTGGAGGGAGATAACACAGGTCTGGGTGTTCTTACCCGCTAAGCAGAGCTCCTGGGAACTCTGTGGCAGCATAAAATTAATGCATACTGTCTGCCCAGTCACTTTGTCCACATCTTGCTGCAGAGTTGTTAATGGTGTGCTCTGGTTATTGGAGAGCCACAGAGCCGTTAAGAATGTAAGATTTAAAATGGATACTGGTAAATTCCGAAGTTGGTTATCACTAAAATTCATTACGCGAATGTTAGGCAGATGGCCCAACTCGGCAGGAACTTCTTGCAATTTGTTGTTCCGAACACTCAGGATGGTCAAACTGGTACAGCTTCCAATTTCTGAAAGTCAAATATCACTTTTTATCAGAACCACATTTCAGGAATACATGACTGCTGAAGTACTAGATTAGTAACTCACACACATCAGGTGGTTAGTTACCCGATGACTTTCCAACACTTTATCATGTGCCGCATGATGAATGAAGTGGGAAAGCTGGTGGATGCATCACTGTGTTTTTGAAGTAATTCCCCAAGTACTGGTGAAATGAATGAGGAGGAGGCACCTCTTGCCCATCATCACTGTGCTGCTCCATTCTGACTGGCTTAAATCATTTATTTCATAATGTAACAGATATAGTGCTTTGTACTAACATCAAATTCTAAACAGAGAGAGGTTCTGTTCATGTTCAAGTCATTTTACACATATTTTTCTTTGCATGTGATGGAATGGTGACAGAAAGGGTTTCCATTGGTAACTGGATTTACTGGACACTTTAACACATGACTCGTGAATACTTTTTACAAATCACGGTGAGACAAAGACTAGTGTTCCCAGTCACGATCTTCACTAGCCATTGCTTGGTAACGGCTTTCTACAGTGGATGTTCCTCTGCTCCGGGCTCGCATCCTCGCAGGCTGGTGGCCATCTCACACCAACCTGCTACTCTTCTGTCATCTCATGACAGAGCTGTTCCCTAGCAACGGCTGTCTCTGCTGGCTTACATGTGAAATATGGACTACTGATGAAAAGGTCTCAGGAGAAACTGAACACTGAAGAGATGTTGTCTGAGATGATGTGAAATTAAATTTGAAGTTAGAAACCCTTTGTGACTGGAAAGAGCATGTTCTTTCTTAACGTAATCAAATTTCAGCTCTAATTACAAACTTTTAAATGTGCTTAGTGGGGTGGTGGAGTCCAACTGGGTCCACTCGGCACGGTGGCCACTGATTGGCCTATTGTAGCCTGTCCCAGGTGATCATGATGATGGAGAATTTGGTGGAATGAAGATTGGTAGGGGGAAACTGAAGTACTTGGAGAAAACCTGCCCCAGAGCCACTTTGTCCACCACAAATCCCACTTGACCAGACCCGGGATCGAACCCAGGCTGACGCGGTGGGAAGCCAGCGATTAACTGCTTGAGCTATGGTGCAGCCCAATTTCAGCTCTATCTCATCCTACAAAAATGACATGACAAAAATAGAAAATCCCACAGTCACATCGACAAAGAGACTCAGTCATTTAACTGATTATTACTTTAATATTATGTTTCACAAGAAGCTGTTAAGAAGTCCTTGGTACTTTAAAGCTCCTGCAGTCTCTGAAAATTGACAGTCACTAATGATGACAGTGGTGTTTATGGGTAGAATTCAGAATTGGAGCACTGGGTATGGGGTATGTGACCACACACACAGGCATGCATGGCACAAAGTGGAACATAAAAGAACTACAAATTTTAACAAGAACAAATTGTGCAACATCTGAAGTTCCCATATGGAGTGAGTGCCTATGTAATTATATCCTGTGATGTGATGCTGTGTAACCAGGCAGGTGGAAGACGGGGTAACATATTCCACTGAAACACTGGTAACAATCTACCGAACTACACACCATCACAATTATAGTTCCGACCAGAGAATAAACTAGAAGGAACATATGACAAGTATGAGTTCCAATGGGATTACCCTCAAAGCTTAGGACCTACATACCCAGGGCAAGGGGATCCTTCAAAAGGCATCTTAAGCAGTGTAAAGGACTGTTTAGCCGTTAGGAAATAGCTTAATACCTGGAAGGATGGTCATGGTGCACAGTAGGTACATTCATACATGGTCCTGTCTGACTAAGTAAAACTAACTTCATGAAGCTAAGACCTTCTTGAGAAACCGCCAGTTACACACGCATTCAAGAACTTCCCAGCATTTTATGGGACCCGAAGGTTCATTACCATGTTCACAAGAGCCCTCCACTGGTCCTTATCCTGAGCCAGATAGACCAAGTTCACACCATACTTTACCATCCTCTCTCTCTAGGGTCCATTTTAATATTGCCCACCCACCTATGTCTTGGTCTTCATAATGGTCTCTTTCCTTCTGGCTTTCCCACCAATATTATATATGCATTCCTCTTTGCCCCATTCGTGCTACATGCCTTGTCCATTTCATCCTCCTTGACTTGATCATTCTAATTATACTTGGAGAAGAGTACAAGTTATGAAGCTCCTCATTATGCAGTTTTCTCCAGTCACCTGTCACTTCATCTCTTTTCGGTCCAAATATTCTCCTCAGCACCCTGTTCTCAAACACCCTCAGTCTATGTTCGTCCCTTAATATCAGAGCCAAGTTTCACACCCACAGCACACGGTCCTGTCACTGTGAACAACAGAAATTGCTTTGAGGTGGGGGGAGAGGAAGAAGGCCTTACCTGGTGGCAACTCCTCAAGCAAATTGTCATCTCCGTTCAAAATGTTAAGTTTCCGCAACAGTCCGATACACGGTGGCAATGTCTCAAAGTCATTTTGACTTAGGATAAATTCCTCCAGACTGGACAACTTGCCAATTGTGTTTGGCAACGCAGTCAGCTGGTTCTCATCCAACTTCAGTGTAACCAGCTGTTTCAGGTTGCCAATGCTTTCTGGAATTTCCTGAAATAACACAACATTTAATTTCATCACAATAGTACAAATAACACTTCAACTAATGCTTTGTTGTGATAAAATTAATGCTAGATAAACGGTCCCTACATACCAGCACATGTGACACACAGTGTACATGGAAATTCAAGTAGTGCATTTAAATACCTGACGTATGACATATGCAAAACTGTGCTGAAGAGTTAATAATCCCACTTCCAAAACATGTTAGAACAAACACAAAACAGCCTCATATGTCCTATAGTGAGTGCAAAGCTTTATCTGACTTACAGTTTCATTACCTGGGACTTAAATTTACAGATCAAGGTGAAATACTTTATGTAAATATTCCAATACACAGAGGTGTACACTCCATTTGAAGTACAGAATTGTTAGGGTGTTACATATTAGATCAAAGACAGTCACCCTTGGCTCATCCTGGTCCATCACACTAATAACAGTATAAAAGATCATTAACACGGGAGTATAACAAAACAGCATGGCCTGAACAACTGGATGACACTAAAGGGTCCTACTCTTCAAACACGGGAACCACAACATGGTAGGCATTCATTTCCTTTAAAGAGAGGCAGTAAGTGTAAGTGTTAAAGGCTAATATTTTATATTCATGACACTGTAATGGTGGTCTCTATATGTATTGATAATGACCAATGACATTGTCATAGCAGTTTCCGCACATATTGACATGTCCTTCTGAAGATGGTCGCTCCGACTGAAACATATAAAGGCTAAAATATTAAAAAAAAATCTATCAATCACACTAGATGGCGTTAATAATCTTTTATAGAGTCACACTGTATGGGCCGGCAAACTGGGGCACAACTTATTCACTGATTTATTCATTCATGGGCAAAAAAACTGTAGAAAAGGACACAATACAGTACCAGTATTACATGAAGAGTTGCAATAATGAGAAATATTGCAAGGACACTTACTGTGATCTCATTGCAAGACAATGTCAAATCTGTCAGGCAGCAACAAGAGCCAATTTCTGGTGCAACCCACTTTATGTTGTTGGTAGAGGCATCAAAGTGAGTTAATTTCTTCAGGTTTCCAATGAACTGCAAAGATAACAAATGAGTGTAGAATATATTAACAGCAAATATCAACAATGCGTTTAGGCATCCTGTTGCATTTCTATAATATTCACATAGAATATTTATATCACAGTTCCATCAACAACGCAACCACTTTATTCTTTAGAATTTTCACTTTTTGCTACAACATANTGACTTTACGTTGTGTTTATCCATATTGTAATTGCTTGTATATACTCTGTGCTCTGTCTGTAATTGGCCTTGCAGCTGTTGACTTGGCACATAAATAATAAAGAACTGAATGGAATTATACTGCGAGCCATTGGCAGTAGGAAGAAAGGGAAAATATATGAACACATTAAAAAAGTATCACATTTACAAAGTCAGTAGCATAATCTGAATATGAATGACACACAATCCCACATTTGAAACATTACACAAAATTTACACAAGACAAGAGGACACACATCTCCCGCATTCTCCCCCCATCCCCCACCACCAAGGTACATTATAAATACAGAAGCAAGCACTCCACACATGCATAACATCTACTACAGTGAGGACAACACCATACGCTGGTGGAGTGAACGACGTATAGACAGGGGCAAGTGAGTAGAAAAACAAACAACATAACATAACACTAGTTATAAGAAACAAAAACAATAATAAATATGGGTTTTACGTATTGCAGACGTAACAGCAACAATGGGGTTGCATACTGAAACAATAGGTCGCCGAAACAAAAAAAGGACAGTGGAATATATACTGTTTGGACAAGCGGACACCGCCCTAGAGAGGTGTAGAAAGTGTACAAAATTTAAGAAAGAATAATTAAAATCTGAATTGAATTTTAAAAAAGATTTAATGAAATTTTAGTTAATTTCAACAGAAAGTGAGTCACAGTGTATGGTGAACTGACTAATGTTAGCTGGATCATAACCGCAACATTAATATAGAACAATGCAGTTACACGTGAAATGTATGACTGATATTCAATGCAGGTAACAGTTTTGGCAAACTGAAGGACCTGATGATGGCCGGTTAGGGCTGAAACATGTTGTAGTAAAAAGTGAAAATTATAAGGAATAAAGTGGTTGCATTGTTGACGGAACTGTACCGCAAATATTCTATGCAAACATCAATACTTAATGAATAAAACACGTTCAATAATGTCCAAACAAATTATCAGAATTAGGTAATTAGATTTTCTAACACTGCATTAAGAATTCTTTTCCTTTTTTTTTAAGAATACTGCTGGAGAACAGACTGATCTAATAATTCGATAAAAATAATGCAAGATTATATACCATATAATATATCACTGCCTATTCAAAATGGTCTAAAAGAAGGAGCTGGTTCATCACCATTGCTTTAGAATATGCCACTTGGCAGGTCCAGGAAAACCAGATGGGACTGACATTAAATAGAATATATCAGCTGCTGGTGTATGCTGATCATGTGACTGTACTGGGAGATAACATAGATACCATAAAGAAAAACACAGTAACTTAACTGATGCTAGTAAGAAGCTTGGTCTAGAAGTAAACACAGAGAAAACTAAGTACATGTTGCTGTCTCGTCACCAGAATGCAGGGCAGAATCATGACATGAAGATAGCTAAGAGATATTTTGAAAACGTGGCACAGTTCAGATATTTGGGAACAAGAGTAATAAATCAAAATTTGATTCAGAAAGAAAATTACAAAGAGATTGAATTTGAGTAATGTTTGTTACCATTCAGTCCAGATCCTTTTGTATTCTCTTCTGCTACCTAAAAATGTAAAAATTTGAATATACAAAACTATAATTTTCCATAATATTTAAATCTGTTACTACACTCACTTAACTTGAGAAGTTTTGCATTCTTTAAAGCTCAATATCTGAGCCACGTTTTAGTATAAAATTACGAAACAAACTCTGTTTAAAAGACCAATTACCAGAGTTAAGATACATATAGATTTTCATTTATACAGATATTACATAAAAGTTTATTAAACTTTTTTTTTCATTCTGGTCCGTCACACTAATATTATGAAAAAGCTAAATAGTTCTGTTCAGTATGACTGGTTAAGATTTTCTTATTTCAATTATTCACGCCCTTACATGTTTCGGTCTTCAGAGGGACACCTTTACATCAATACAGTTAGAAGCCACTATTACAGTACATGATCTAAAAGTTAAAATATATACATACAATATAAATAATATACAATTAGCTGTAAAATCTGAAGTTTTACAACTACAGCAGCTGTTCCAATACTTTAAAATATTTATAGTTAGTTTGTTAAAATTCTATTGGAATTTGTAAACCATGCTGGTTCGTGTCATCCCTCTTGTTATTTCTTTTGACGGGGGCCGAATGTGTGCCCCCTGTCGTTCTCGAGAAGAGGGTTCTGCAAATATATTATGGGTATATTGTATTATTTCATCAATCCTGTTATGTTTTGTAAAACTGTTGTTATTTTGTCCTACTACCTTTAATGTTGTCCTGTTTGTGTTTGTGGCCCACCATGTTGTTTTTATTGTTCTAGGTTGTGTTGCAAACAAAGATGAATCGGCATTTGCCTAACATATACTAAACAAATGCCACCAGTATAGACAGTTGACAGTAATCACGGAAATGGCTGAGAATGCCAAAAAAGGGAGCATCATGAATATAAAAGAAAATTTCCATATATATTGCTTTAATAATCTCAACGAATTGATAGAAGAGCAAAAACACACAAAAGAAAGTGACAACCAGTATAATATGTTCAACCTCATAATACAACATCAGTACACGCCCACACTAATGTCACAGACACAAGGAATATAAATACGCGGTACAACACAACCTAGAACAATAAAAACAACAGAGCGGCCCATAATCACAGACAGGACAGCATTAAAAGTAGGACAAAATAACAAAAGTTTTTACAAAACATAACAGGATTGATGAAATAATACAATATACCCATAATATATTTGCAGAACCCTCTTCTTGAGAACGACGGGGGGCACACATTCGGCCCCCATCAAAAGAAATAATGAGGATGACACGAACCAGCTTGGTTTATGAATTCTAATAGAATTTTAACAAACTAACTATAAGTATTTTAAAGTATTGGAACAGCCGCTGTAGTTGTAAAACTTGAGATTTTACAGTCAATTGTATATTATTTATATTGTATGTATCTATTTTAACTTTTAGAACATGTACTGTAATAGTGGCTTCTAACTGTACTGATGTAAAGGTGTCCCTCTGAAGATGGTCTCTGAAGACCGAAATGTGTAAGGGCGTGAATAATTGAAATTGCACATTAACGTGCTGAATGGAAGAGCTCTATACTTTTTTATCACAGTCATATCCCGCTAATAAAGAATCTGTAATATTCATTTCTTTCCTACCTTCGGAACACTGTGAATACGATTGCAGTCGACCCATAGCTCTGTCAGATTCACCAAGCGTCCGATTACTTCAGGCTAAAAGATAACAATGTTCAAATACTCGTTAACAGAATATTACGTTATATCTCATTAAACAGAACATTCTAGATGCTAGTTAAAATGTAATTCCCGCCAAAGAAGTTAAAACATCATGAACAAATCATATTCATTTTTAAGCAAACCATTTAGCATGTTGTTTATGAAACAGAACACTGGGGTCAATGAAACTTTTCATGACTTTTTCTCCTGATCACTTGGCCTCTAAAAATTTGTTCATCACACCTTTCCTACCCCAAAAGGTCACCTCCTGGTGGATAGCACCCCACTCCTCTGTTCTGTCCAATCATGCTTTCAATGCTACCAAAAGCCAAAGTTATGCATTTAAATTCATCATGACATAAATGTAACTGTACAGGTCACTAATGCCATCTTACAAACTCCAGCATTCCACAGCTCCACAGTCCTGTAATCACCTTAACAATAAACTGAATGCTGAACACTTACTTAAATCCACCTTCCCTGACTGCTTGAAATGATAGAAGTTTCTTGTTAATGAAATGAGAAGAGAAACAGAACATTCACATGAAAAGACACATGAAAAGGATACAGTGTCATACATAACACCTCTGCTGGAAGCCTTCAGTTCTGTTACGTGCAACTGAGAGCTTCTAGCATAGCGAGCAGGCAACTGTTTTATACACAACAATTGCATCATTAATTAATTCAAACATGTTTCACTAAAATCCTCTTTGTGTTTTATTCCTTTTATTTACAGGCATACAGTAACTCATATATATAGTGTGATTCAAAGCTTTAATACACTTATGGAGTTGGTTGAAGCACTATGCTACAAATTGGAAGGTTGTGGGTTTAATTCCTGATGAGGTCACTGGATTTTTCAATTGACCTATTCCTTCCAGCTGCACTATGGCTCTGGGGTCAACTCAGCCTCCAACAGAAAGGGGTACCACTAATCTTCTTGGGGTAAAGGGCAGCACTTGCATAAGGCTAACAACCTCACCACCATCTGTGAGCTGACTGTCTAGAAATGTGTGAGCCTCAACCTCTCACAGCCCTATGGGTCTCCACAGCCTGCTACAGGGATAGCTTTACCTTACCTTATACTTACGGAGGTTGCAGGAGAGATTAAGTGGAGATGAAAGTATAAATAATTTTTTTTTCTGATTTGCCTCCATTTCACAGTCGAGAAATGTACAGTGATGTTGCTTTATATTACTGTAATTCTGGCCTGGGGGGGATCCAAGCTGAGACATCATGAAAGTAGACAGTGAAGAACAGTTATCAGACTTGGGCAGTAGTACTGTTAACAGTAACTGGAACATCCACATTTGATATATGGTTACTGCAACAGAAATCTGCTTACTACATTGAGGGGAATATCAGCATTGATCCAGACCACGACATCACCACCAAGGTGCGTCACAGCCTGAGATAATGAGGCACTCCCATGTCATGTGCTTGTGACGGCAGTGGAAGACGCAAAATGTGGCACGAGGACAATGCACTGGATGCCATACATAACAGACGAACAAACAAACAGCCAGGACCTTTTGCATGTCCTGTCCAACAGGACTTTGCAGAGCGTAGTATGGCGTATTCTGTGCAAGAAAAAGTCGTATCCAACAGGACAAACATCTTCTCCAGTTCTCAAAGTGGGTGCTACACAGGACTGTGTCACATGATGTGGGCTGGCAAGTCAGTATTTACAAGAAATGCCATACACAACTGACACAATCTGCATGTATGGACAGTGAACAATCCTCACGCTACTAGTCATTTCTCATTCCAGCAAAAATTTGGTGTCATCATCTGGGGTGGAATCACAGATGATTATATAATCAGAAATGATGTAACACAGAACTGTGTAGGTGAAGCTTACTAAGCTGATTTCCTCAAGAAACACTTCCACTCTTACCAGGGGATGTGCTCTCAAACGCATGTGAGAGCACACGGTTTCAGTGTGACCATGCCCCTCCCCTCTTTGCATGTCAAGTGAGTGGACAGATAGATTAGGTGTGAAGGTCTGATCACCTAGGCTCCTCATCTGGACCACCGCCCCCCCCACACGTTTTTATTTGTGGGCATGCTTGAAGGCAGAAGTTCAGGATGGTGACAATCCAATTAACTGCACTGAGACAGTTGCTGCTGTAATTAGTAATCTATCCAGGTAATTGGTTACCATCAGGGTTCCCTTCAACACTGCTGTAATGTGAGTGTTCAGGAAGATGGAGGGCACATCTGCTGCATTGTACATTCAGAGCACTGACAAGTCTCCACCATGCAAACAGAACGTATTCAAAAGAGATACACAGAACTGAGAAGTAAAAACGCTACAATGGACAGAATTTGCAATCTTCTTATCTTTCATTGCAAACAATCAATTGACAGTTCAAAGAACTGTTTCAATTTTGTAAAAATTGACAATCACAATAACAGAAAGGTGTCAACATAATAACATAACTCCTTAATAGTGACGAATCTGAAAAAATTGTACTTACGTTTTCAGCTGCAATTGATCTCCCAAAAAACCTCCTTAAGGACAGAACTAGAGTTTTAAATCACCATGTTCAGAGTTGATCAGATGAAAGCAAAAAAAAAGAACTTGAATGACTGTGTTCATGGCCTACTTTAATTCCTCCCCCGCCCAGAAATTTCTTTTTTTTCTGTAAGCACAATGTTTTATTTTGTAAAAATTTGATTATTTTATCATTGGGGAAAGAGCCCGTGGTACTCTTCCCTTTGGAGAGAAAGCTGGGTGTGCCCCAGAACCAGTCTGGATGCTGTGCACAAGATACAACTTCTTGGCCTTGCTGGGAACCAAACCTCAATTCCACAGCTGTGTAGCCCATGGTCTGAGTTATGAAAAACTGCTGCTGAATCGTGTACATCATTGCGAGACTAATGGAATTCAGAACTGAAGATAAAAATCTGAGCAAGGAGAAACATTGTTCACTACCGCATTGAGTGCACAGTGTGACTGACTCATCAGCACTGCCATACTGCAAACTTGCAAGGTGCGAGACTGAAACATCTGCTTCGCATCTGAACTTTCTGTGTTTTCTATATCTATCTCTGTGGAATATTTCTCTAACTTTCAGTTAAAAGGAGATTACTATGAACTAAATTATTATACACTTACCAGATCAGAAAATTCATTCTGACCAATGTCCATCCTTTCAAGACTAGTTAAACGCGCTATAGACTTTGGCAGGGTGTTCAAATTATTTTCTCTTAGCTCTAGAATTCTTAATTTTGTCAGTCGGCCAAAATTGGCTGGTAAAAAGTCCAGACATGTGTCATTCAAATAAAGCTCTTCCAGGGAAAGCAGCTGTGTAAAACCTTCTGGTAATTTTTCCAACTGGTTTACACTAACATCAACATACACAAGATGTTTGCAGCCCTTTATATTATCTGGAATGCCACACAGTTCTGGAAAAAGGGCAGAATAAGAAAGTATCAATACCAAAGAATAAAGTTACGGCAAAAGTGTCAAAGATGCATTTCCAACAATGACCCTACAAAATACTAGATGCTAAAGAAAGTACTACCATAAGTAAATTGACTAGGAGAATTTCTATTATACAGGCTGTTTCAAAATGATGGACCCAGTTTGAAATTGCTATATACCTGCAACCACAAACCACCCATGAATGAAACTCTTACCACTTGAAAGGGTGGGGGATAGAGTTTCAAAAGATTACTGCCAGGTGTGTCTCCCAGCGCATTTTCTAAATGCATCACTGCCTCAACATTGGATAGGGCGCATGGGGCCCCAGGACTTGGCACTACAGTTTTGGCCCCCAAGATCTCCAGACATTACACCCTGCGACTTTTTCTTGTGGGGATATGTCAAAGACAGTGTTTTTGTGCCACCATTAACGGCTAACGTGGATGACCTCAAGAACAGAATAATGGCGGCAGTGACTTCAGTGGAAGAACACACTTTGAGAGGCATTTGGGACGAATGCAGCTATTGTCTCAACGTCCGTGCAGCAGGTGGCGGCACACAGAGCATTTATAAAAAAAGGTTTACAAAACTTAGTAACTTGTTAGACCTTTTGTGACCTTTCCTGTAACTGTAGCATGTTGCCATCGTGAAATACACGGCTCTGAAATTGGGTCCATCATTTTGAAACACGGTGTATTTTTCTTATTTTTGACAGGATGAATTAGGCATGTGAAGGACAGTGGCAGGCACTGATTGCCTGTCACTTCAGCTAGAGGGAGGAAGCGATGAATTTCTGAATCCCTGCTTGTCCTTCAGAGCTTCTGATCCTAATCTCTCGCTACTTGAGACATGACTCGTCCCCTTAGAATTACAAAAGGGTTCAGCTTCTCTTTTCAGCTGGGGTGGTATGAATTATCAGGGCCCTCCAGTAAGCTGTTAACAAAGTGAGTAATGAGAACAATTTATTATATACAAAAAATATTAATATATTTATGCTACTTCTCAACATGCTTGGGTTAAAGAAGCCTGCCATCTGTGAGCTCAGCCATGTTTCATACTGCGAAACACTAAAACAAAAACTGTGTACGGCCATTTAGTACAAAAGATATATAATAAGCTGTCAGTTATGGGCCTTTGATGTAATAAAACATAAATTACTGCTTGCCAAATTTAAGCTGTAAGGACTGAGAGAGAAAATACACTCATGGATGAATTGATACCTTACTGGTAGAACCCAGTTTGTAGAAGCACAGCATTTAGATGAAAAGACAACAAATATAAAGACCTTTGCTTCATCGTGTAAAGAAATAAAATATGGTGCACCTCAGTGTTCTGTTTTGGGACCCCTTCCGTTCTTGAGATTTATAAATTATTTGCCCCAGGCAGTTCAAGAAGCTAAGGTGGTGTTATTCGCAGATGACAGAAATATATTACTCACAAAGAGAAGTCTCCCATTTTTAAAGAAAAATCAGTAGGTCATGAAACAATTAGAAAATTGGTTCCTAACAAACGATCTTATAATAAATACTCAAAAGACTAAAGCAATACTATTTCAAGGAAGGGAATCTTGTTTAACTCGTGGACCCATTCTGTATCAAAAAAATAACTAACTTACTCAACAGAATTAAGGTATTTTATATCACAGATAACTTAAGCTGGGCCACTCATATACAATATCTTTGCCATAAATTAAACAAAGCTCTTCATTTGATTAAATCCATATGAGACTCAGTAAGTTTACCAGTACTAAGAAGTGTTCATTTTACTGAATTTGAATCTATACTGAAATCTGGTATTTGGGGGAGGGGGAGTAAGTAACAGTAATAGAGTCTTCAAATTACAAAAAAAAAAATCTAAGACTCATTAAAGGAGTGAAAAACAGGGTGTCCTGTAGAAGTCTGAGCAACTTCTTTATACAGGGTGTCCCAGGAGGAATGGACCAAACTTCAGGAGGGTGTTCCTTATGTTAAAGTATGCCGATATAACCCAAAACACCTATGTCCAAAGTTGAACGGTTACGGAGATAATGGCCCAAGAAAAGTGTGGTCTTCTGGCAGGTCCACGCACTGTACCTGTCAGCTGAGAGGCCTTATCTATGTTTGTCCTTGAGTGCGATGATTCGCCCTAGCCGTGCTTATGTAGTTGGCTCATACCAGAACGCGCAGTCAGCACGTTACGTCAGCGCTTGCCATTCATGTGTCATGTATAGTGCTTGGAAACCCTAAGGACAATTATGACATGGCGAGCGAGTATTTTGTACTTCAATTTTATGGCTTCATGTCACTCACAAGTTAGTNCCGGTCACGATAGCCGAGCGGTCTAGGCATGCATAGTCTTCGCTCGCTCGGAAGCCGGGATCGTGGGTTCGAATCCCACTCAGGGCATGGATGTTTGTGTGCGTTTTTCTGTATTTGTGTACAGGTAGAGGCCTTGCGAAGAGCTGATCACCCGCCCAAGTAGTCCTACCATATGTCTAAGATCTAGAAAAGCTGAAGGGAACGAAGAAGTTCATGGAGGTAGGCCTAGGCCCACTGGGGCTGTAGTGCCAAGAAAAAAAAAATATATATATATAAGATCTTATACTTTTTAAGAAAAGAACAAGATCTACACAACTCATTATTCTGACATTCCTAATCTGTGAACACAATTCTGCAGTATTAATATTACAATACGTATAACACATTTCACAATGAAACGATGCCAAGTATGCAGTAGTAATACTCTCCCGTGACTTTCACTTTCTGGAGAACAGTTATAAAATACTGCCCCTGTCATAAGATAAAGGGCAGCTGGAGGGCTAGAGACTTGGGAGGAGGGGGGGGGGCTTTGTCTGCCTGTTTTGAAGAGCTGGTGCGCTGTATCTTCTGCTCTTCCGCTGTTGTTCACAGGCAGAAGCTCTGGTGAGGTTCTACTGTGAGGGGAGGGCACTGGTCTTAGGTGCTGTGCTGCAACTGGTGTTCAATCACAGGTCCAGCTGGAACCAGGTGGGGACCCTGCCATCCGTGCTAGCAGTGCTTTGGGGTGGGTGGCTTGTCTCCTTGCTTTCAAGGACTCAAGTGTTGCGTCTTCTGCTGTGATGGATACACAGTCAACTCTCTCATGGGCCCTGGCAAGGGTCCACTTAGGGCAAGACTGCAGGAAGTCTCTTCAGAAGAGTGAATAACCTACAAAGGAGCAGTGTACAGGCTAGCAAAGAAAAGTGGGCCAGTAAAGGACAGGTTTACATATCCTGTCCTAGCCTATGTAATGCTGCGTTTCTGCATACAGTTAGCTGTGCTTGCTGCCTGCTTCAAGCTGGTTTCTCCCTTGGCTTCTACTTCGATACCGAAGATGGAGGCAATATGTTCCCCTTTCACCAGACTACATAGCATTACATCCCACATGACAGAACACTTCATTATAAAGGCACTGATAGTAATTATATTTGCAAACAACAAAATGTACGTGTATACAAATTTCAGGGAACCTTTCTCTTTTCATTTTAGGACTTTCTGCATCTGCTCCTCCTGGTATATGATGCCATGTTGTCCAGTCAGTATCTGCTAACCTTTCAAAAGGATGTACTGCCTCACTTTTCAAGACAGAACTCGAAACTTCTTACATGACATTTCTGTATGTGAATGAAGTACTGTAAACTATATGTATAACAGAGTTCCATAACAAACCATTCCTGCTCAGATCCAGATGCTGCAGGTTTATTAGAGATGCAATTGCAGGAGGAAGCCTTTGGATGTCATTGTCGCTCATGGATAATACTTTCAACCCATGACAATGGAACAATGGCCGTGGCAAATCACGAATCTGAAAAATTAAACAGGTCACTGTATGCCTATGTTAAGCAATAATTATATAGGTAACAAACAATATCAACATTTAACAAAAGTGAAGACTAGTAAGAAACTGAGATGATTTCAGAGACATTATGAATTTTTCATTCCCTACCAACTGCAGAATACAAATCATATGGAAAGAAGAAGTGAGAAAATTTGTTTGTGAGGGGTCTTGTAATTTTTCCTTATATTTTTTATTTGTTCATTTTTAATATTTTGTTAGTTTGGTTACAAAAATGCCTGGGTTTCTTGATAAGAAAGGAATGAGCTCTGGTTCACTGCCCTTTCCTGCAATTTGGTGAGTAACAATAAACAGCGAAATAATTAATTTAAATGAATGATGTGAAGGAGGTTGGTCTAGAAGTAAACACAGAGAATGCTAAGTATATGTTGCTGCCTCATCACCAAAATGCAGGGCAAAATCATGACATAAAGATAGGAAACAGATGTTTTGAAAATATGGCATAGTTCAGATATTTGGAAACGACGGTAACAAATCAAAACCCGATTCAGAAGGAAATTGAGAGATGATTGAACTCGAGTAATGCTTGCTACCATTCAGTCCAGAACATTTTGTCTTCTCGTCTTTTGTCCAAAAACATAAAAATTAGAATATAAAAAAACTATAATTTTGCCTGTGGTTCTGTATGGGTGTGAAACTTGGTCTCTGACATTAAGGGAGGAACATAGACTGAGGGTGTTTGCAAACAGGATGCTATGGAGAATATTAGGACCAAAGAGAGATGAAGTGAAGGGAGATTGGAAAAAACTGCATAATGAGGAGCTTCATAAACTGCACTCTTCTCCAGGTATAATTGGAATGAGATGGGTAGGGCATGCAGTACAAATGAGGGAGAGGAGGAATGGATATAGGATATTGGTTGGAAAGCCAGAAGGAAGGAGACCTCTGTGAAGACAAGATGTAGGTGGGTGAACAATATTAAAATGGATCTTAGGGAGACAGGATGGGATGTTGTGGATTGGATTGATCTGGTTTGGGATAGGGGCCAGTGGAGGCCTCTTGTGAACATGGTATAAACCTTCAGGTTCCATAAAATGTTCGAAAGTTCTTGAGTGGCTGCACAAATGGCAGCATCTCAAGAAGGGCTCAGCTCCATGAGCGAGCGAGTGATGTGAAGTACGACCACACCACTGACTACCTAATGCTCAAGAAAGATTCACCAAAAGAGTCACAGATTTTGCACTGAGCATTTGACCCTGGAGTGCTGCAAAATATATGGAGCCCTTTCACTGCCTGCATGAGCACATACATACCCAAAGTCGAAGTCAAAGTCACATTGCGACTGATGGTCAGTCAGCCAGTAAGTCTTGGTGTCAAGCCCCGTCTGGAGCTCATGACCAGATATTTATTACTGTTTGACAATTATGGTCTTATTTCTGTGGGGCGCCATCTCTGACGAGAGGACGGGTCTGTCTTTTGTATATGCTGCTGGCCCTTGCCAGCTCAGTCTTTCTTGGGTCCAAGTCCCTTAGGAATTGCGATCATATTTTACTGTCTCAGATTTGAGACTTCCCTTTTCATTGTCTCCTACGACTCGCAGGGTCACGGTGGAGGTATTCGACCCCGCCTCCACATGGGTGTCTCATATATTACCCACTTTCATGTACAATATTCAATTTCCTTTTGTTGTGTACCCTTGGATGAGTTTTCAGATATATCTTGCAAGAACTCTTTGAGAAAGATCTGTGCTTTTATTTCTATAAATGTAAGAATGCTTGAAATGCCAGGCAAGATGCACACATCTCGACAGGACAATCACTAAATCATTGATCGGCTAAACAGGTTAGGATCTTGGGCAAGCAAATAATGGTAATATACACAGCTCAACCTGGATGCAAACAACAGATACATTGTAAGGAATTATATCACTCACTTGAAGACAAGAACGTAGCTTTTTTTTTTCCAGCTGAGTAACTGTTCTGTAAGCAAAGTTGCAGTCAATGAAGTTACTGGCTAGCAAGAGACATACCCAGAAGACACAGGGTGGGTGTATCTGAACCTGACTCTAAAATGCATAGACAGCATACGTTCACGAGTCCTGGGGACCTTGGGACAAGGAATCACTGTGCTGGCCAGGGCCACCAGCAATTCACGGGAATGGACTGATTAGTGAGCCAGTGGCAGGTCACTGCCCAGTAGAAGACTGACCACTCTTTTTGTTGAAAAGGTGGCCCCCATTTCAAAACACGTAAAAGTCTGCAAAGAACAAAAATATTTCAAGTGTGCTGACCATTTAAAGCCGAACTGTTCACTGATCTGAAACTTTGGCAGCAACAGTGAGCATTGCACTTCTGCTTCCTTTAGCTATTAGCAGCTACAGCATGGAGGCAGTGGGAAGGCAGATGGCAGCGTTCCAAGCACCTCGGCTTGCTTTCCGTAGCAGCTGTACTGCAGTACGAACTAACACCAGTAACCAAGGCCAGAACGGCAGCACACAGAGTTACTTACTCTATTTGAGTCCAAGTACAATTCCTCCAGAGTTCTCTCATCAGCAAAAACCTGTGGAGGAACATCTTGGAGCATACGGTGTTGATAGTCCAACTGTCGAACATCTTCTGTTTCGGGTCTTACACAGTTCAAGAAGCATTTCCACGGCATGATAAATGATCGATTGCTGATGACATAAAATTCCTGAAATTAGCAATATGGAAATTACAAAACAGGATTACTGAAAACTCTCCAAATAATTAATAACAAAATCTGGAAGTACATCATTAATAACACAAGCCCAGCACTGGACTTTATCTTGTGCTACTTCATGACACTTGATGTCCTCACCACCTACTTGACTGGGATTCATTTTAATACTATCCTCAGTCTTCCAAATGGTTCCTTTTCATGAAATTTCATCCATTGACATTCTGTAAGCACTTACTTACTAGAATGGATCTTAGAGATATAGGATGGGATGGTATGGATTGGATAGATCTCGCTAGGATAGGGACCAGTGGAGGGCTCTTGTGAATATGGTGATGAACCTTTGAGTTCCATAAAATGCTGGGAAATTCTTGACTAGCTGCAGAATTGGCAGCTCCTCAAGAAGGGCTCAGCTCCATGAGTAAGTAAGTAAGTAAGTAAGGATATTAGTGTAAACCCACTGAGAATGTATTGGATAATCTTATAACTTGTTATGTAAGCCTTCATAATATTAACTTCCCCAGTGTTTTCCCTATTTCCTTCCATTCCTACATGTCATTGTCGAATAATACATCAATGCTGATGTTCCATGTCATCTTCTGTGCATAACACATAAATAACACACATAAATAGCCAATAGTATATAGTACACTACGCTTCACATATCCACATCAAAAGATTATCAATACTCAGAGAATACACATGACAGCAAGCAGGTTTTGCACATTATTGCAGGGAGCTAACAGTTCTAGCATACCTGCAGGAAGGAGGTTGGGGACACAGCCTCAAAGTAGGCAGGGCTCCACCAAGCAAAAGCAAAGCTGTCTGGATGCACTACAAGCCAAGAAATGAAAGGTCTGGCCAAACAGGAACCAAAACACTCATCAACTGGGGAACGTGAGCACCCCAAGAAGCGAGAAATAATGACCAAGACTTCCAAGACGTCAACACCTGGAGGTAGTACCCCTACAAAAATAACAGACCTCTGACAAGGCCCAGGGACCTATAAGGAGGCTCTGATCAACATCAAAATGGCCATCCTCAAGGGAAACTAACCTGAGATGATACAGGATGAACAAAACCTCATCCTCGAAGAACTGAGATGGGTGTTTCATGGGACCCCGAAAGGAAAACTGCCACAGCTGAAGTCTTTCGGGCTGGAAGGGGGTGCACTCATGTATGTGACATGGGAGACATCACACACAACATCCCATATTTAAGAATGAAAATTAGAAATCATACACATATACCATACATCACTTAAGCACAGTAAAGGTTTTATCCATATGCTAAAAAGCAATTTTAACCATTTAAATCCACTGCAAAGTAAAGTATTTACCACAAATTCTGAGAGAACTAAAACATGAAATATTACTTCTGTAGGGAATTATGTTACAATGTCCAATCGTTTACAAGGAAATGTAACAGATTTTAGATAATACAGTCTCTCTTGGTTCGAAGATGATAAAGTATATAGTGTGTTAACAGGAAGGAAACACTGAAGTATATAGAAGTTAATTTTATGGTGTAAATGATAGCTGTGTGCTGCTTACAACGTTATTTTACTCTTAAAATATTCAATATTTCACTGTCATATACTCGGCACCTGCAACTCTACGTTCCTTCCGTTATAGACAGTCCTTTCGGTTTAAGTGGGTGAGTAGTGGTTGTAAAACACCCATACCTTCCTCAGAAAAGTTAAATCTAACTTACTGTTTGTACAGCAACTTGTCAAAACGCATAAAACGACGGATGCAACAACACCTTCACTTGCTATCATTCCAACTGGACTGTAACTAATTGATATATCTCTCTCACGAGTAATTTCTTCATGTTCTTACACGGAATATTTGTCGTGTTAGGTTAAGCTGGTCTCGTGCTGATATTACGTAAAGGGAACTGCTGCACTTACAAATATCACAGAAAATGTTTAGCTCACAATATCTAACGTCACTTTCTAAATAACACATGATTTATAATTTCTTCCTTAATTTCCATTTTCACTTCTGTTACAAGTAACCACACTTTCCAAAACCATAACAAATGTATTTTTAACAGTATTTGCAGTGTTACCAACGGAAATTCAATTTCAAATTACTATGCTTAAAAACTGTTTCACAGCATGTTTAACAAGCAGACTGACTGATCAAGTACTCCAAGTGACGTCACTGATGGACCGCGGCAATTCAAACAGTAGCGAAATGAACGAGATTCCACGCGGTTTCTTTACTCAGTACTCAGTCATAAAATTACACTTCTGTAGCGTCGAGCTTCTGAAATTCGAAGTGGCCCCACAACTTTCTGTATGGACGTCTACTGTCATATTACTCAAAATCCGTCGCCCATCACTTGAAACAGGTAGAAAGTGTGGACAGAGCTCATAAAGCCTACTTTCCTACTATGCACAATTTTATGGATCCTATTGCAGTTAACATGAATTTATAACAAAATAATGAAATGCAATTTAATTCATTTGGTGCAACTGTCAGCAGACGGCCATTTGATCCAGTCCCGGTCACATTCATTTCCTGCACCAGGCAATGTCAGGTCAGGGGGAGGGAGGCTGAGGAGAGTTCAAATGAGTTAAACAAACATAAAAAATTACATAGATTAAATTCACGTTATATTTGCTACCATTCAGTTCAGAAAATTTTGTCTTCTCATCTACTGTCTAAAATTTACAGATTAAAATATACAAAAACATTTTTCCTGCAGTTTTGGTTTGTGTAAAACATGGTTTCTGACAGAAAGCAGTCTTCTGGGATATGGCACCGTGTATATGTGGTGTTAACCGACGTTTCGGAGGAACGGTGCTTTTACCGTTCTCACGGTCTTGTCGCTTGCAGATTTCTTATACTTTTTCTTCTACCCTGAAGATGGAGGCGATACGTTCCTCCGAAACGTCGGTTAACACCACATATACACGGTGCCAAATCCCAGAAGACTGCTTTCTTCATAGTCACCACCGTGAAAGCCTCAAATCTTACATGGTTTCTGACAGTATGGGTGTTTAAGAACAGGATGCTTATTAGAATGTTAGACCCAATATGGATGAAATAACAGGCTGGAGAAAAATGCATAATGAGGCGATTCATAAGAAATGACAGCATTTGTCTGGAGGGACTGAATAAAACCACAAATAAACCTCAGTCACTATGGTGTGTCCTAGCCGAGATTCAAACCGAGTATGTTCCGAATACAAGTCCGAAGCGTCACTGTACACCAATCTGCTTGGGTTTTAGTTGGAAGGAATAAAAACTGTGGGGCATATTTGTCAGAAACATTTGACCATCACACGAAAATATGAAATAATAAAATCAGACAGATTGGAGAATGTGTAAGCATACTTTAGGAAAGCAGGCTAAAAAGAGAAGAGATTTTTTATATTTGAATTAACAAGAAGATTTAGTAGTAAGAAAGTAGATGGTGCATATTTACAATGTACATTCTTGACAATATAAAGGACAGGTTCTACGAAGAATTAGAACATGTATTAGATAAATTCCCGAAGTACCATACGAAAATTTTGTTAGGAGATTTCAATGCCAAAGTAGGGAGGGAAGACATTTTCAAACCAAAGATTGGGAATGAGAGTTTGCATGAAATTAGTAATGATAAAGAAGTTAGAGTAATAAACTTTGCCACATTGAAAACTCTTGCTGTCACAAGTACAATGTTCCCACATCGTAACATCCACAAATTTCCTGGAGCATATCCTGATGGGAAGATACACAATCAAATAGACCATATTTTGACAGACGGGAGACGGCACTTAAGTACACTTGATGTCCAGTCATTCAGGGCAGCAGATTGTGATACTGACCACTACCTGGTGGTGGCAAAGGTTAGGGAAAGGCTGGCAGTGAGCAAAGAAACAACACACAGAGTTTATAGGGAGAGGTTAAATCTCAAGAAATTAAATGAGGTAGAGAGTGAAGAGCAGTATCATGAAGAAATATCAAATAGGTTCAGAGCTTTGGAAAACTTATACACTGAGGTGGATGTTAATAAAACCTGGGAAGCTATCAGAGATAATATCAAACTGTCTGGCAAGGAGAGTCTGTTTTATTATGAACTGAAGAAGCGTAAGTCGTGGCCCGGTGAAGGATGCTCAAAATTATTAGACCAAAGAAAACAAGCCAAATTGCAATGGTTACAGGATCTAAGTGAGTTAAATGGGGATAATCCGAACAATATAAGATGTGAAACCAGCAGGCATTTCAGGAATAAAAAGAGGAAATATCTGAAAGACAAAATTGATGAGCTTGCAATGAACAGTAAGAACAAGAACATTAGAGACCTGTATAGAGGAATAAATGACTTTAAGAGGGGTTACCAACCTAGCAGTACCTTAGTGAAGGATGAGAATGGTGATCTGCTTGCAGATTATCACAACATTTTGAATAGGTGGAGGAACTACTTCTCTCAGTTATTGAATGTACATAGGGTCAGTAATGTTAGGCAGACAAAAATCAATACAGCTGAGCCGTTAGTACCTGATTCTAGCCATTTGAGGCTGAAAAGGCTATTGCAAAATTGAAAAGGTATAAATCGACAGGTAGTGATTAAACTCCGGCAGAATTTATTCAAACAGGAGGCGAAATATTAAGTTCTTAGATCTACAAGCTAATTACTTCTGTTTACAATATTATATTTCAGCATCCTGTTACACTCACACAATATATATGGATAAATACCGTCTTAAGTGCAACAAATTTTATTGTAGTTTTTACTTCTTTTCCTCCTCCACACTACATGTTTCGGCCCTAAATGGCCATCATCAGGTGTGTATCACTCACGTAGCTGTTACACTGCTTTTTAAAATTTAAAATTACCAGTCTTTCTAATTGTATAAAATCTTTGTTAATCTACACGCGTCGATTTGATTTTTAAATTAGCACTTTTTAAAACTTAATTCAAGTTAAAATGTCTATAAGATCTCTGTTCTTTCTTTTTCAAATTTTTA